AAAATGCTGAAATTTAGTATTCAATACAAATGTATGGTTTCCTTCAGTTCCATTGACTTTAGACTGTCTAATTTCGACAAAATTTAAATTAACCTGGCATGGGATTGCCTGCCATGGATATTACTTTACTGGCATACTTGCTGATATCATTTCATTGTAGAAATTATCTCTTCCTAAGTCAAATCTGCAGTAAAGAACTTACACAAATCCAAGGATTTAAAAGACTTCCATTGCATTTTTTTTTTTTTTTTTGCAATAACAATTTTTGTTAAGTTATAATAAGAGTCTATACAAAACATTTATTCCTGAACACCAAAATGTTTTATTAGAACTGTCAGGCTGATGTTACCTACTACAGAATTAGCTACAATACTTTGTGAAATCAAATAATTTTACTTTGATAACTAATGAATACAAATTTTAAATGATATGATGGTATTTAAATTATTTAAAAAAAGACAGGTTAAGATTCTAAGAGATAAATACTCCAAGTCTAAGGCTTTTCTACTATGTCACTAAACATCCACTCAATCACGCAGTACTAAAATAATATGTGTACAATTAAAAAATGAATAGGGGATAAGAAAAAATAAATATATTACAAACTTCAAAGAAAATGAGTATACAATATCAAACATAAATATCATTTGGAGAGAACCAATAATGACAGTTTAAAACTTTAAAAGATCAACAAATTTAATAAAGTCTTTTAAAAAAATTAATAAAAATTTAAAAACTTTTTAATACAAATGTTTAAGGAAATTATTGTGACATAGCTACCCATATTCTCACTCCATATTTACGCTACCTAAATATAATTTGTAGATTGTATAAATTCAACATGATGGAATAATTGTATTATTACCAGAAGTTGGTAAGGAGGGGAAAAAACAAATTAAATAAAACAGAGCCAGTGGATAACATTTCAATAAAACAAAGTAAACCAAAATTCTTAAGAATCAGTTTTGTGTATATGTGAACAGTTTTCAGCCACACACCACTCCTCCCAACTAAGCTCCAGCTCAGGATTTTGTAGACAACGGTGCAATTTCTTAATTTAATTAATAAAAACAAGTACTCAGCTAACATGTAGAACATTTAAGACACTGTTTCAGTTTTAATTTAACTCTTAAAACTTCCTTAGAGCTCTCGGTGATTAAATCTGACTCCATGATTTACTATTAAAAATAGAAACAAGACACTGGACAACAATCAAAAATAGTAAATATTGGGTAAAGTAAAAAGTAAACCAGGGTTACTTTGAGACTAGGTGGTGACTATGTGATAAGAGTTTATTTTGAAAACAAAATTACTTGGCGGGCTACAACATTTTGTACTCAAACAAATTTCCTTTAGTTTGGATAGAACAATGTTTCAGTTCACCAAGTGTATTCAAATTCAAAATAAACTAACATAAATAGCCACCATCTACTCCCAAAGTAACCTCTTTTTAAGGTATAAATATTTATAATATTTTCCTCTTTTTAAATGCAAACATCCTTTATCTCAGGAATTATTTATTAAAAAAAAAAACAGAATGATTATTAAGATTTTTCATATAAAAAAATTCATTAAGCTGATTTTAATTTTAGCAAGATAGGGTAGGATAATGGCAATACAACATTTATTTAGCTGCAATAACTCAAATTCCTAAATTTCTACCCAAAATGTAGTTAATTTATTCCATGTTACAAAGGTAATAGACCAGTAACTTTTTTTGATATTCATTGTCTAAGCTCACTTTTCACTAAATCAACAAAAATTACTTAAATTAAATGGTTATTATTCACTTTTCTTTTTTAGGTAAAATTCACTTTACACAAAACATTGAAATAAAGTTTATAAGTTATAAATAAAGTTTATAGTTTATAATAAAAAAATAAATCTAATCTAATATAAAAATAAATATTCAACGATCAAAAGAATAATAATACCGTGAACTAAACATTTTATTTTTTATAAAATTGATCGAATGTTCAATGTTATGGTGATCGTACGATTTCGACTAAAGGCACTTGAATTGTCATAACATAAAATAGAAAAATAAATTATGAGATAGCTCATAAAATAACCCCCCTAGCATCAGAAAAAAAATGTTTATACATATATATATTTTTTTTAAAAATAACATCATATATATTAAGTGAAACATTTTTTTTTTTTTTTTTTGTTTTTATCCAGCCCACAAGTTAATTGTAAGGAAAACTCACCGTACTTGGGCATGAGTGGCTGTGTAAAGGGGTAGCTATCGCAGTCAGTATTCTCCATTACTCTCTTCACCTCACATCCCCTATATCACGCCAGGGCACCAAATTGTTTACACTTACGTACCATATACAAGAAGAACTACTAGTAGTAGAGTACTTCTCTAGATTTACTCCTAACTTTATAATAAATGGCACACACATACACACAATAAATGTGTGCATGTGCATTTAGAATATATACATATATATGTGAAATATATATATACATTTTAGAAATAAAAATATGTGTAAATTAATTTAAAGAATCAAATAAAAGGGAATAAAAAGGGAAAAAGGTTGACTTTTTATCTTAAATTATAAAAAAAAAAAATGAAATATATATGTAAGATAATGCCAAAATAAAACAATAAGCTAATATATTTTGAAAATAGATCCCATTAAAATCACTTATATTATGCTAAATAATAACATTTGTTACAATAACATTAATTAATGTAATCTTATAAGTTTTATGTAAAAGAACTTCTTAATGAGGTTGTATTCCAAGAAATATCAGTTTTTGGAGTGACATTAATAAGATATGAATGAATAAAATAAAGGTTTATTAAGCAGTAAATTAGTTGTAAATAATAAATAAGAATGGACCAAATCTCCTACATCAAAAATGATTAGCTACTTAAACATTAAAAATCTCCAAGAATTAAATACATATTTTTTAAATATCATATAAAACTGATGGTGTGATACAAAATGCCTCCCATGAAATTATTTTCTTTAAGACTAATATTTTATCAAGTCGGAAAAAAACTTATTTATTAAACAGGAAAAAAATGGAGTATACTTCAATCAATTAATCAAATTAAATCAAGTCATACTGTCATCATACTATTTATAGCAGCAAAAACTGTTATGGATAGAAAAAAAAAAAATGCAATGAACTGCATGGTTCTGGAGCTAATATAAAATCTGAAATACTCTTTCATATGATTTCCCTCTTACAATACATATATAATTAATCCCTCCCTGGACACTATTATTATTTTAATGATTTAAATTAGGCATCAAACCTAAAAAATCAATTTTTAAATTAATGTATAATCTTTCAATTTCTCATTTATTTTTAAAAGTTTTTCTTCAACTATTTTTTCAAATATCTTGGCACTGGCTGGGTCTAGTCTAACACAGAATAGACAGCACTCAAAATAAAATATTTTTTCTGATTTAAAGAATCCAGAACTCTTTTAAAACATGATTTTTTTACTTGATATTAATAAAAATCAACATTAATGCCCAACTAACTACTAGTTGTAAAGTGTATAAGCATTATTTAATTTTTTACGATAATATAATTAAACACGAGATAATTAACTTGAAGCATTTATGACATTCAAAGGGAAAAAAAACCTAATATATTTATACTAGTGAATTTTGCAGATGTTTGTAAGAGAATTAATTATTTGAATTATTAAGCAGTATTTATTTGCATTATTAAGTAGTTAATTATTTGTAATTATTGTCAAGTAATAAACAATCATAGTTAGTTAAATTAAATATTATAATGATTTTATAAATATCGAAAATTATACAAATAATGGGAAATTTCTCAGGTGTCAATTATATTTATATTTGTGTATAGAAAGCAGCTTGCAATGTCTTTATTTGAAAATAATAATTTAAATTTTAATACCCTGATAACAATAATCAATAAATTGTTAAATTTAGTCATTGCTGTAGTAAAACTAATAGAATATTGCCATGCCATTACTTTCATTAAAATTTCAAGCAATAAAAATTTTTATTTCTCATTAATTTTTTTCCTACCCGCAAACCAATATCCACAACATAACCTCCTGAATATAAGAACATACATATGTTATGGAACAGAAATGTTATATGGCATAACAAGATCAAGAGCATATTTATTCACTAAAAAAAAACAATTTTAAGAGCCATCCAATAGAACTTTATTTTAAGAAAACAGCAATGCCTTATAAGTCTTATCTCTCAACAAATAAAATAAACGTCTAGATTAAAAGAGAATCAACTAAAAAAATTGATAATTTTTTTTTACCAACATCATTCTAGAAAATAAGTTAGACGAAATAATAAAACATACTAATTAATAAATAAAATGTTCAGGATATTATTAATGGACCAGTTTTTCAACAGAATTTCAGTTTTTTATCGTAAAAGGTGAATCATATTTTCGAGTTGATAATTTCATCAAGGTATGAGATATATTTTAGAATTACTGCACTTATAAATTATTGTTAGAAAATGGAGAGGATATTTGATGATGAAATGATATTTAGCTCAAGCTTCTTCTTAAATTCAAATATAACATGCCATGCCTCTAATATTAATTAGTTAATTTCTTTGGATAATTATTTAACAATAATAATAAGCAATTCAAGGAGACATATTCTGATTCAGAATTTCAACAGAAACTTTTATTAAAATTTAATAGTTCATAAATATAATGTATTATTTTTCAAAGACATGATTAATTACTATAATATTATGGCATCCTTACATATATTTTGAAAACACATATTTCTATTTTCTCTTTCGAGTTTTAATAAAATAAATTAAAAATTGCACCCTAAAAATACACATAAGTGGCATTAAAAAAAATTAGCAAATTTATATCAGTAAATTCATGACAATTTACAAAATGAATTCTTAAAAAATTCATATTTTTAAAAAAATAAATAAGGGGCAGTACATAATCATCAAAATAAATTATTTTAAAAATTAAAACAAAATAAATTAAAGAAAATTACTTCTGTATACCTTCATTATTTCTCTAAATTTTCCAATTTCTCGTGTTATAAGGTCTCTTCTATCATCCTCAATATTTGCATCTGTCAAATCGACTGACTGTAAACAATTATTTACCTTCAATTATTAAAAGATTTATATTGAGACAATATCAAATAAGTTGCAAATTAAATCAATATTATAATATTAAAGAAACAAATTTATAACTCTAGATTAAAAATGGTACAATAAACTCAGTCAGACAAAACAAGATCGAATCAGGAATACTGCAATAAGAGTGAACCTCAATGTAAAACCTGTACGAACAGTGATTTAGGAAAACCAACACTGATGGTATAGACATGTCATAAGGATAGAATAGCCAGACCAACCTATGAGACACAGGTGGATGTTCTGGAGGTAGGTATAAAAGAAGCATTTGCAAGCAAAGAAATGGATCGGAAAAGGAGAAGAGAATTGATGCAAGAGAGAGATTTATGGTGGAGGCTCAGTGAGTGAACCCTAACATTGCAATGATGGGAGGTAGAGGCTCAATGAAAAAGAAGAACAGCAACTTTTTATTATTATTTTTTTTTAATGAAATTTACAACTGTATTACATGAAAAATACAAGTAAATGTGACATTGGTAACATGTCATGTACAACATGAAGAGAAACTACTCATTGATAGAACTCAAATTAAAGTTCTAAATTAGAAGATCCCGAGGCCATCTTTATTTCAGACACCTCGGAGGGTTATCAGGAATAAAAGAGGAAGCAAGATTGGAAACAAGAGGGTTCGGATGGTCCAGAAGTTTATTATGGAAGGATAGATATCTGGATAGGGCCAATTCAGAAACATGATTTTATTTGTGACAAAGTAAGGTGCATTGAGGATTTTACGAAGGATTTTGGATTGTAAGGATTGAATACGAGAGGTATTTGATGGTTTAGTAGAGCCCCAAAGCTCGATTCCATAAGTCCAAATAGGGCTTATTATAGTCATATATATAAGTCCAAATAGGCCTTATTATAGTCATATGTATAAGTCTTTTGTAAGTAATTGGAAGTTTAGAGCATTTGTCTAGTAAGTGCTGGAGTACTCGAAAAGGTCAAGCGGTTTCTTGTCGTTTCAGTCTGGTATGAGGATTCCAAGTTAGTCGTTCGTCCAGATGGAGTCCTATGTATCGGATTTGTTCAACAGGGATAAGTGGGGTATTGCTAAAGGATACAGTAGGACAGAAAGTCATAGGTTTGCAACAAAGGGTAAAAGTAATTTGATGGGATTTATTGGAGTTTATTTTAATCCTCAAGTTTTGACACCATTCTTCAAGACTTGTGATGTGTGATTGGAGAGATTGGGATGCAATTGATGGATCGTTGTCAACTGATAGAATACAAGTGTTATTGGCATAGGTGGTGATGACAGTGTTGGGATACATTCCAGGCTCCAATGCAGAGGAAACCACGTCTACCACACGATGACATTGCTGAATAGTGGAGTGAGATGTACGGAACCCAAATTGGTGATCTGGGGTTATGTGATTAGAATCTAGGATGGAATACAGGCGTTTTAAGATGAGTTTTTCTAGGATTTTGCACAGAATGGGTAAAAGAGAGATAGGACGGTGAGAGGATGGGTATTCTGGGTGGGTTTGGGTATCATTTTGACAATGGATAGTTTCCAAGAGTCAGGAAAATATGTGGTTCGGAGTGCAGCATTATATATATATATATGACAATATATATATATATGTCATGGCCAGGAGCTTTGTGGGAAGGTAATCTGTGTAAGATACTGGATATTTCTGAAGGATGAAATGCTTTAGGCGGAAGAGTCAATTGGAGTGGGATATCGAGTTCTGCTTCAATACACTCAAGGTGGATTGGATTTAGGATATCTGAGTGTTGATTAAATGTTTTGAAGGGGTGCTGAGCAAATATTTGAGATTTTTCTTCATTAGATCTGGACCAGGATTAGGTTTCAGTAATAAGTGGGTGGTTAAAATCTTTGAATTTTAAGAGCTTTTTGGTGGTCAACCATAGTGATTTGTCAGTAGTTGTAAGATTTTCTGTTAAGTAAATTTTGAATTTTTTAATTTCAGCTTTTAGTTGGTTGGTTAACTTGTTGTAATATGACTTATCTGATGGGTATCTAGTCCTATGCCACTTTGATCTTGCTCTGCATTTTCCCCTTAATAAGATATGAATGTGCTGTGGCAAGTTAGTCTTTTGGGAGTTGTTATTTTTATTGGTTGATGTGTTCTCGTTAATTTTGTCACTTATAGATGTAGTAAGTACCTCTAAGGCTGAGTCAATGTCATGATTCCTCTCAAGTGGAATATTTAGGTCCAATTTATCTTCCAAGTCTTTACGAAATTTATCCCACTTTACTCGTCCTGTAATCAGTGAAGGAAAAAAGGAGGACTTAGGAACGAAGGTTGAGTGTAATGAAAACAGAACTGGACTGTGATCTGAGGAGAGGTCATCCAGGGATTTGATAGTGACGTAGGAAGAGGAAATCTGGGAGGTGACAAATATGTCCAAGATATCAGGTGGTTTTTTTAGGGAGGTTGGCCAATAGGTAGGATTCATAGAAGAGAGGATGGAGTAATCATTAGAAAATGAGACAGAAGATAATATGTTATCACGGGAGTTGGATGCTTGACAACCCCATCGTTGGTGTTGAATGTTATAGTCTCCTCCAGCAATATAGCGCGATCAGAAGGATTGGAATAAGGATTTAAACAGGTTGTAGGTAAGAGTATCACCAGGAGGACAGTATACAGCTGAAAGTGTTAAATGGAAAGGACAAGTTGAAATGATTACCGGGGTTGCTTGAACAGCCTCAGTTGAAGTAGAAGGAATGAGGGAATAGGATAAGGATACAGGAACCGGCATGGGAAATGCTGTCAGGGTGGTCTGATCTATAAGTGATATAGTCACATATGTAGAAATATGAACGTTGAGTAAAGTGAGATTCTATCAGTAGAGCAATATCAGTGGGCGGGGTGGCCGAATGGGCTAACGAGTGTGCACTGCACCGCCGTTGCCTGGCAACCTGATCTATGAAAGAACGATGAAAAATAGTCACGAGTTCGCATCCCGGTGCCGGGAGAGTCTTTTAAATCCCCGCCCACACTCTCTGGCCCGGGAAAATCCCGTATAGCCTTAAAGGCGAGGACGGGGAGGACCCAAAAAAAAAAAAAAAAAAAAGTAGAGCAATATCAATGTGGTTGTCATTAAGAAAAATGTCAAGTTCGTCTCGGTGGTTTTGTAGTCCGTTAACATTCCATAAAAGAACAGCTAGAGGCTTTGTGCTCATCGAGGGAAATTAAAGAGAATTTTGGTAAGGGTTCTTGTGAGGAGGGTTATTAATGGCTTGATGGTATCTTGGAGATCTTTCAGGAAGGAGGTAAGAGTGGAGTGGATTAAGTAGAACAGCAATAAACTCATAAGGAGCACATTAATTACATCATTTAGAAAACAATTTTTCTAATTACAGGTGAAATGAAAATAAATGTTTTTCAAAGAAATTCTTTTACCTTATGATAATTTAATTAAAGCAAAAACATTAAAAATGGATTTGACTCATTTCGTAATTTAAAACCTCAATCATACAAACAAAAACTTATATTATCTACTTCTGCCTACCTAGTTCGAAGGATGTTGGAAATAGATCAATGTATTGATATTTTTGTCTGATATTATTTATATTGATATTGAAATTAAGTCATTGAATACGATATTTTCTTGGTAAAAAAATTCTTCGAAGATGACGAGTTTAACAACCAAAGAACAAAGCCAAACATTTTGAAAGTAAATCAGTGGCGTGATGTGTTCATGTCACTATGTATATCTAATGTGATCAAATATTAGAAAATTGATAGACCTGATAGAAAAATGTTTAGTAGGCAATCTTCTTTATCATTTATAATAAAAAAGTAGGCAATTTATGGATCAATACTACTGATGATATTGTTAACAATATTTTTATTGGAATTAGCTTGGCATTATGAGTGGTAATACAAGATATATTTTATATATAACTGTTAAAAAATAATAAACTACTATACATATAACAATTTGCAGTGTTCATAAGCTTGATGGTGTGCATTGGGGGATGAATAAGCCAGGTTGCAGTTTATCACCCTAAATGGGACATATAAGTATTTCACAAAATATGACTTCCTATGTAATTTATGTTGGAAAACGTATAAAACAGGTGGAATTACTATCCTTTTTTGTCTAGTTTCTAGTTATAATTTTTTTTTATTGACAAAAGTTAATAAATTGATATTTTTACTGTGATAAGCAATTTATTAATATTTAATTGTTGCTGTTAAAGCTATTACAAACCTAATACTTTCATGTTATGGCTTTTCCCCTTCTTTAAATAATTAAAAACATGTTAATGCCCTTCTACTTTTTAAGATTAAAAACATCATGACATGGAATATTCATGTTTTATATTGATAATTGAAATGTAAATCCCTAATCTTTGAAGGTTAAAAGAATTTTTATTTTTGATATATCAAATTACTATTTTGATATTTTAAAAAATATTAAGATATAATGTTTCAAAGTTATTTTTAATAAATCAAAATAGTTGATGTATCGTGAAAAAAAAAACTTTTAATCTTTAAAGAGTAGGGATGTAAATATCGAATACTAATAAAAACTATCAATATTCCATGCCTTGATATTTTAAATCTTTAATAACAAGTTGTCATATCTATATTTTTTTTTTCAATATTTACATTCCTAATTAGTTCTTCACAATCAAAGAGGAAACCATTCTTCACATTTAAAGGAAAGCAGTACAAGAATAAAAATAAAAGCAGGGAAATAAGTCTGTGATTAAGTAACACTTCAATAATTGGTGTACCATACATTACTAATCCCTTATACTTATGAAATAAATAAAGCCTATGACAAAATATGTTAATCTTCTTTCTAAATAAAAACACTATAATTGAAAAATAACTAATTTACATGCATAGAAGATAACTTACCATAGCTCCATCATGTTTCACAGGAGGTGTAGGAACAGGTAATTTTATTTCAGGAGCTAAAAAAAAAAACCAAGTAGTATTAAATAATGGTACTAACATTACTGAAATGTAAGAGAAAATAATAAATTTACAAATAACTCACTACAGCCATTCTCAATCCTTTGCTTCATTAGTTGAGAGATTTAGTCAAAGTCACTAAATTAAAATTGCAACATAAAAAGAAATCATCCCTAAACTATCAAAATAAAACTAACCTGGTTTGACTTCCTCATTTTGAGGAGGGACATAGTTCTTGATATCATTTTCATAATCTGATAAGATCATAGCTATTCTATCAAGAGCTGCTTTGTCAGTGGCTTTCATATCATCATCCATATAATCATCCTCATCTACTGATTCATCCTGTAAAGGTGAACTACTACCAGCTTTTTTCCTTTTTTCATCTATAAAAGAGTCATATTTTAAAAACTTTGTTACCTGATTAAAATTATTTTAAACTAATAAAAACTTCATTACATAATGTTTGTTAAAAAATTCAGAAACTCAATTAAGATAGCAACATATAACCTTACCTTCATTTATCTTGCTAATGTGGACAGATTAATATTTCCATCTTGTAAAATGATAAAATGGATAGACTGATAAAGGAATTTAATACTTACTCTTATATTCCTCAAGAACTGTTTTGGTCTTTGCGTCAACCTTGACAACAAGCTTTTTCCCAGCTATTTCATAGTCATGTAGCAGCCTGATAGCACGTAACCCAGCATCAGGATTTCCAAACTCGCAGAAACCGAATGCTTTAAATAATATTAATTCAATCAGTATTTTTTCAACAAAAAAAGTTGTCATTAAAAATATGTTAAAAAAATAAATATGTTATTTTATTTTAGATAAAATACTTAGCAACAATTATAATAAAAATAGGAGAGGGTATCATTATAATAAAAACAATTAAGATATTTGAAAGACACCTAAAAGAACTTAAATGCATGTTAGTTTGTCTTAAATGGTTACAAGAGGTTTTAATACGATTTCAGGTTCAATTTTGCATACAGTCATTTTTGGTAGTTCAATTATTTCAAGAAAATAAACATCTGGTATACTTGAAATGAAAATAACTTTGTTATTCTGCGACTAGTGTCCCTTTAAAACAAATTATAAATGTAGAATATAAATATGTCAGTGTGTCCATAACTTAAATTAAACATTTACAAAATTACTAACAATGTAAAGTAAAAATTGTTGACTTATGTAGGATTTTCAAGGCAAACAGAAGAGTTTCTTAAGGTGAAAAATTCAATATTGTGGGATGTGAATACACCAAATAGTAAAGAACAATATTCTGCACTGAAAACTATGAGCTAAAAAGATATAAAATTTTCTAACTCACCTTGAACACGCTTCCAAGAAGTGACATGACCACAAGCAGAAAGTATAAAACGTATCATTTGATCTGGAGCACGCTCAGTAATATTGCCAACAAAAACAGTTACTGACGGGCCATCAGGCTGAGGAGGAAGATAGCGCACAGGAGGTGCTGCTTTTGGTCTAGGAGGGGCAGATGTTGTAACTGGAGTCGGCCTGTAAGGCCTGGGTACCATAGGTGCAAGAGGAGGGCCACCCATCATCTATATTAAATATAAATATATCATGAGGTAATGTTTTTTTTTTCATTATTACAATAAATTTTTAAATCTATAAATATACATTTTGTTTTCCTAAAAATCAATTTTTTATTAGCTAATAATACCTCAGTAGGCATAATACAGAGTGATAAAAATAATAAAAACATTTTTATGACATGGAACATATGTAGCACCAAAAAATTAATTGAACTGAAAGCTGACAATTTGCTGTAGATATTACTTTAGATAAATAAAAATATGGCATAGTGAGAAATAAATGTTTTTGGTAAAAGTTCCAAAATTAGTATCTTTGTTTTTAATTTAGAAATTCCAAAGTTCTAAATAAACAACATAAATCATATTTATCATATTATATACAGGGTATCCCGTACTACCATAAGTAGAGGGAAATATTTGAAGGAATGATAGAAGACCTCAAGAGCTATAAAAAAGTTTATATAAAGATTGGCCTTATTATCAGCTGAAAAGTAGGAAATTTGAGGTTTGCGTTGTTTTGGGTGTCATTATCTTATCGAACAGGACGCGATAACTACAATATATTTAATTTAATCAATTACCAATTATTTCACTGTAAACTAGACAAAATTTACTTCAAATGAAGCTAGAATTTGTCATTGTTAAAACCATTCAAAGAAGATTTTTAAGTGGCTAAACTAAGCTAAGTTCTGTTTTTTTTTTAAATCATCAATTATTTGCAACTTTTTTTTTTGCATCACCTTCCAACAATCAATCTACAGGCATCCCCTTTTACAAAAACCTCATCGTTTCATAAACTTTAAATCCAATTTAAATCATTTAATCTGTACATATATTATTACAGTAAGGCTCGAAATCTGTAATAATATCAGGCTGATTTCTTTCTTCACCAATTCTTTTCATGAAAATGTAAATATTAGGATCAGGAACATTTAGTTTGTCACTTATAAATACAGATCAATTCCTATAATATAGATCTGAGTATAAAACCTTTTTCATATTATTTTAAATGATGAATAACCAAAAAAACATTATTTTTAAAATAAGTAAACAAGGTATTTAGATTAAAAAACAAGAAATAAAAGCTTTGCAACAATTAATTATAGCCATTTTTCCTGAAAATGTGGATATTTTGAAGTAGTAGGATATAAAATCACATCATTTTTAAACAACTTCTGAGGTGAATCTCAATTTGTTTTTAATAAAACTCAACTTATATTTTATATGACTTTGATTTTATAAATTTTATATTAATTTGAAGCTTTATTAATCCAGGAAGTTTTTGTAAAAGTGGGATGTCTGTAGTATAGTTGAAGTATAATTAAAAAATTGTGAATAAATTATGTTGTTTCTTTTAAACAGAATGTAGCTTAGTTTAGCCCCTCAAAAGTCCTCTTTAAACGGTTTTATGAAGGACAGATTCTATTTTTGTTTTAAGTAAATTGTGTCTAATTTAAAGTGGAGCAATTTTTAATTATTTAAATTAAATAGATTTTTAGTTATCACTTCCTATTCAACAAAGAACATGACTTACTTAAAAAACCACAAAACATTAATTTCCTACTATTCTGCTGCTTATATATGTAAACTTTTTTGTAGCTCTTGAGGTTTGCTATCACACCTTTAAATATTTTCCTCTACTTACGGGACAACCTGTATAATCATCGCAATCAGTTTTTATATTTATTTTGATGTTTCATCCACAATGGCTTGCATTAAATATAAATAGTAGTAGATCAACTAATTTTCATGATCTTTTAAAGCACTTCAACAATAAAAGTCTAATTACAATATTTGAACAGTTATTAATCTAAGAATACTTTTATGAGCATTCCATTGATTACTAAGGGAAAAAAAAAATTACGGAATCTATTTAGATACATATGATGATGAAGTACTCTACCTACAAATTATTTTGTTTGAATTGGCTCTGGTTCTCTTGATAAACCGTTCTATAAAATATCCATGTTTTCTTACTAATCTATTCTCATTATCATGTCATTTTGAAGTATAATGTGACAAATACTAATTGTTGTCCAGAATTTTAATGAATATCACCTTGTTCATAGTTTTAAAATGTTAAAAATCCAAGTTGATTATGTTAACTGCCGAGAAAGGAATTTTTTTTTGTGTATGCTCGCGGTTGTTGAACATAAGAGATACCACGTCGTCCAAATCTGAATGGTACTAGGCTGCAAGATCTCTGATGGCGGAAACCGATAAAACATCTTTCACGTTGTAAGCTTCAGGTCACCAAGTCGTCATTTCCTGCTCACTACTACAACACTAAGGGTGCTATCACTAAAAGGTCTTTGAAAGTAGCATTATTTGCACTGCTCCATAATTTGACTAATGGTAGTTTACAAATTATCCTCATCGCCCTGACATGCACTGGTCTGGGGTTTGAATATTCTTCGTCTCTGGTTGATGTGACAGTAAAATTTTCTGATTTCATTTTTTTGTTTCATATTCTCGATCTCTTCTAGTGAGTCCTTCTCCAAGACTTTTATCCATATGTCTAGAGGAGCATTTTCTCTTCTAATAATCCTTGAAACCCTCAAACTATCTTGGTATGATCCAGGTTTAGACCCTTATCTTTGATATCTGTGCCCTGATCCAGGTAACTGTGAGAAAGTGGTCAAAATCAATATTTGCTCCTCTGTAGACAGTTGACATCCTGGAGGGTTTTCATGTGCCAAGAACTCAGCACAGGATCAGTGATAGAGTGGCAAGTAGCCAGGTGTATTCTCTTTTGGGCGAACATGATGCTTCCCACGAACAAATCTCTTTGTGCTACAAAATTTATTGACCTCTGATTATACTCATTTGTGTTATGAAAACTTTAAGCACGAAGAAGACCACATCTGTGCTAATTGGAAGATGTCAAAGAGGATCTGAATCAATTTGGCATTCGGATATGATAAGACTTAAGACATATTTTGACTTAAAATCATATTTTGAATGCCTTTTCCTTCAAGCCATATAAATAAATATATAAAAATAATTTTTTCATATTGAAATTGGTTGAACTCACAAATTACATCAATTTACCTTTTTAAATAATAAACTCGTAATAATAAACCCAATGCTCATATCAAAATTTTTCAGAACACTGACTTCTGCACATATAGTTTTTAAGTAGCTTCTTTTATTTATTCCAAGCTCATCGCTAGAAATCATACTGTAATTTGGATGCTTGTATTACCAGTTTAAAAGATATTTCCATGAGAATCTTCAGGTTCACAACTAACTACTACATACTCCAAACATTTTATAAAAGATATTTAAATGGCTGAGATGATTAAAAAATAAGTGTTTTTTAAATTCATAACATTATATCCATGGAATTGTATAAAATAGGGATATAAAAAAAAATTAAAAAATCATTTCTATGCTTTCTTTACCCTCAGTAATCAAGGAAATAAAAATAATCTTTTGACTCATAATTACGACCCTAAAAATCAAAAAAAGCAATACATGACTATTTCTAAAAAATATATATGTATAAACTTACCGGACCCATTGGCATAGGCACTCCTGGCATGAGAGGAGGTGGAGCTGAAAATAAAATCAATTTTTGAAACCTTAAAATAAATTATTTAAATATTTATTTTTTAAAAACCATTAATTCTTATAAATCTTCAGTCCATAAAATTAACTTTTATAAACCATCAGCCCATAAAATAAAGTATTAAAATAAGAGAGTAATAGAAGTAGTCCAGTAAAATTAGGGATTGACCCCAACATTAAAAAAATAAAGATGAACTTGTCAGAAATTGTTTATTAGTCTCTCTATAATAACTCGTAAAAAGTCCTAAAAAATCCCGCATGGGATTTTGATGGGGGCAGGGCAAGGACAGAAAAATGATATTATTTTAGTTTTTTAATAATATATTTTTTAAAGAAAAATGATATTTTTTTAGTTTTTTAAGAATATCTCAACACTTGTATGAGGTTTTTGGCAAAGATTATTCAGTATAATATTAAAATACTTTAAAATCTCTATAAAATGATTCTATACATTTTTTTTTTTTGATAAAATCAATGGTTACAAAGATATTTATGAAATTATATTATTATATTTATTAAGTTCCACTTCAAAAAAAAATTGATGTTCAAGTTTTCTGGTTCTCTATATGTAATCAGACCATGGTTTATGGTAATTTTTATAAGTTTTAATGCATTCTATTATATATTTTCAATTATATGATATTAATGTAAATCTAAACTTCATCACGAAATTCCCCATTGATTAATATCGAATATAATTCTGTTTAGAATTATATTTTAGAATCATTAAAAGAAAGAAACTTCAAATAATTATTTGAAGGATTGAAAATGCTAAAAAATTAATTAAACTTCAAAAAGATATTGTCTACTATGAACAGCATAAATTTTGTGGTTTACAATACAATACAATAAATATCTTCGTAACCATTGTTTTTATACAAAAAAATATATAGTACCATTTTTATAGAGATTTTAACATTATAGCTAACAAGCTTTGCGAAAAACCAATCAGTTTTTCAGATATTCTTAAAAAACTAAAAAGTTATTATTATTCTGCCCTTCCTTGTCTCCCCCATCAAAACCCTAAGCAGGATTCTTTGGGACTTGTTACCAGTTATTAAGGGCAAGGTAATAAACAATTTCTGATAAGTTTCATCTTTATATTTTTATTGTTGGGTTAAGGTTGTTTTTTTCCTAACTTTATTGGCTATATGGGATGGATTGGTTAATGGGGCTTATATTAGTGGATTCTCACTAATCCAAATTAATTAGAACAAAAGGGGTTCAGATTAACAAAAAATTCAGATTACTGAACAGAAAAAATAACATTCCTTATATAAAATAATAATCATAACAAAAGTTAAAAATTTATTGAAGAGAAGGATGGATGCGGTGATCACTTAAAATAAAAAATAAATAATTATATTTATTTTTATATTTGCCGACGTTCAGACCTTCATCAGGGCTGGTCAATCGAAGAAGCGTGATTTCGATTGACGCTGCCATGCTTCTTGAATTGATCAGCACTTATGAAGGACCTGAACTTCGGATGGAAACATCGGCAAATATAAAAATAAACATAATTATTTATTTTCTCTATTTTTTATTTTGACTGATCACTCCAACCATCCTTTTCTTCAATTTTTCAATACAGTAAACCATCAATCCAAATTAAAATTGACTAAATACATTACATTCAATAACGAGTCAGTGTTTTTAGCTTAAATTGTTTAAAAAATCTAAGGCAATCTCACTGAACAATTTGAACCATCAAACTTAAAAATTCATCTAGCCGTTCACTAAAAAATCGTCACATAACTTTTAGCAGACAACCTAAACACATAACCCTCATGTCGCTTTGCTCAGATGGGCAAAAATGATGAATTGGTGGTAATGTTTCTTAAATTTGTCTAGTCAGATCAAAAAATGTTTTACAATCAGTTGGTATCTCTGGTAAATAACAGCTATTTAATTTAATAAGAATTCTTAAATGCATTCATACCTTCTTATTGTTGGAGCTGATGAAAAATGGAATGCGAAAAGAAGATTTCTGAGTACTTTGTGATACAATTATCTAATTACATCTTTTATAAATAATTTAACTTTCCATCATGTAAACCTGAATTTATTTTAAGTTATAAAATAATGAATTCCAGAAAATGTGCCCATTTGATTTGATATTGTACCAAATATAAGCTCATGTAACATACCCTCCGTTTTTTTGTTCAAAAATAAATAAAGTTAATATACACATTTCACCAGGCTTCAATACTGGGACAGAGGTGAGTTAGCAGATCAAAACAAGACATACTGAGTTTTGAAGATTTTGATTTGAATATCAAGACCCGGTTAAGTTTCTTTGGAATGTACTGAGTCCAGTGTTTTGAAGCCCAAACATGCACAATTTACAAGACAGCAAAGTAATGGATTTTTAGCCACACAGGTTCACATAACAGTGTTGCCATGGGATGCATATCCCATGTATGTCATCGATTAGCTTCCTATGAATGAGATAGGTTATATACATTATTTCTTATAAATAAATTTTAATGAGATTTATAACAATTTGATTAGCCTTCTAATTACCAACTGCACTATTCATGGAGATGTATAATTTTCTGATTATTTGAAAATTTAATTGAAAGTGAATGGTGACAGAATGGGCAGAGCATAGCTTTATCGCATTGTATCACATCCTCTCATAATAATTGTCTCTGCCCTAAACATAATCAAATACTAATTATTACAGCTATCATTAATGAAAACCACACATTAATATGTATATAGTATCATTGGATCTGTTATATCATACATATTATATTTTCTTTTATTTCATATTCATGTTAAAATGGATAGGTCATTTAGTTTAATATTTTTTAAATTTATATAATGATAATTAAGTGCATAATTATAATAAAACGTTTTTATACCTATTAGACATCAAATTTCTGTTGTTTTTAAGAAATAGCTAGAACTTAATTTTAAGAATAAAATATTTCCCAGCTGTATGGAATATTCTTAAGTTGTTATGATAATATAAAAGCCAATTAACTTTCAGTATGTCTAATTTCATTATACTTTCTTCCTTCTTTTCCAAATATAAGATACAAAATACCGTGTACCTTTTATATCTTGTATTTTTTTAGCCCTGATGAAGACCTACAAACTGGGTCAAAACGTCAGCGTAAACAATAAAATACTATTTTAACATATAGTATTAATTTGACCGCACCCCCTACCCACCGACTAACTCCTTCTCATTCATCCTGAATGATTAACAACTACAATTTTGATAGGAATGATAACATTTAAAATCAAAATTTTTAGAATATTTTATCAAGACTTTTGGTTATTAATAAATACTTTGTTCAAAATGACACTTTCAGAGAGAATAGTTCATATAGGGGAATCATACACCCTCCATTTTGTGATATCCTACATATAACAACTAATGGCTAGTACTCCTTGGCTGTATTGCACTCCTCTACATAGTCTGCACCAGGATACTAAACATTTATGGTTATTCATGATGCAGTATAGGTAAAAATCTTCAGCCCACTTCTCTTATGGTCCAATCTGCCTTCCTAAAAATAACCCATGACCTCCATAACTCCATTGAATACCAAAAACTTACTATCCTCATCTTCCTAGATTTCTCCAAAGCTTTTGACACACTTGACCACAGCATTCTCCTTACTAAAATGCAACATCTTCCTTTATCCAACAGCGTCCTGTGATGGCTCAAATCTTTCCTTTCCAATAGATCCCAGTATGTAGTCGTCCAAGGTCAACCTTCCTCTAAGACACTTCCCCTCCCTCTCCTGCGGCATCCCTCAGGGTTCCTCCGTATCTCCTACTCTGCTTGCTATTTACATTAATGACCTTCCTCTCCTGATCAATCATTCCCAATACCATATCTATATAGATGATTTCCAAATATACCTGTCCTTCCCTCCTTCTGACCTATTAGCAGTCACATAAAAACTTCAACTTGGCGGATGCGAACAAGTTCAACTTGAATGCCGAGAAGACAGAGGCAATTTTGATAGGCTCTAGTCACCTCCTTAAAACTCTTCCTAACATACCAATCCTGTTCCTACACGATAATCCCATCAAATTCTATCCCACCATTAAGAACTTTAGAATAACCTTTGACCAAACCCTTTCCTGGAAAAACCATGTATCTGATAATTCCCACCGTGTCTTTTCCATTTTAAAACAACTAAATTACCTCTGCCACCTATTTCCATTTGAAACTCGTAAGTTCCTTATTATTTCCTCACTTCGACTATTGCTGTACTGTATATGAAATGAAAATATTTTTATTATACTGGGACTGTTGTCTTTTTAGAACAATGTATAAATACTAAGAAAATGCCTGTGTGGTCATACATTAAATTAAACATTTACAAAATAATATTTAATTAAAAAAAATATAGGAAGAAAAAAGAACAAAACAATATATATATATATATATATATACATAAACAAAGGAAAATATAATAGCATAAGTAAACATGGTTTCTGGGGTGGGATCTTAAGAAGGGAAAAACAAGAGAGGAAACCAGGAGTTAGTGGGTTTTATATGGAATTAGATAACGTTGATGGTTGAACTGTTTTAGGGTAGAAATAGTATGACAGAAAATTTGGGAGATGTGTGGTTTCCAGGAGAGGGTTTGATAAAAATAACACCAAGGTTTTTAACGGAAGTTTGGAACGAAATAGGTGAGTTGTTTAGAAGAAAATGGGGGGTACTAGTTCACCTGAGTTCCACACGGATTACGCGTGGTTCACAATCACTTCAATCACACTTGTTCAAGGAATCGCGAGAACAGCTGAATGCTGTTGTCTTTTATGACATCAGCTATTGCCTCTTCACACAATCCCTTATCATGCATTTTTGAAGCAAAAAAAAACGTATTCCCTTCATGAAACTTCCTTATTAACAAATCGTGTATTTACTAATTTGTTAATTATTCATTTCTATTCTAACGGCTATGAAAGTGAAAGAAAAAAATATATAAAATAATGTATGAGTCGTTTCTTCAAGGTCTGTTAAAAAAAATGCAATTAGAAATAACATTTTTATTGACACGTGTTTACATGTAGTGGCTGTAAATCGGCATATACTCTTGTATATTATCTTTTATAACTGTGTATAAAAGATATTTTTATCATTTGGATAATAAATAATCTGAAGTTATCTATTATCTTTTTATTTGTTACTAAGAGTTTTTCAATAGAAGTTGAAATAATTGAATTTATAATTTATTTTAGCAAGCCTTTTTAAGAATTGCTCAATCATCTATCTAGTTTATGTAACTTTTTGGATTTCTAATAATACGAGGATCTAATATTTTCTAGAAGGGGGCGCTTTGTATGAATATACTGTCTGATTTGAGATTGAGCATTAAGGTTGTGTAACTTTTTTGAATTCTTAGATATACGGATCCACTATTTCCTAGTCATCGAAACCTTTTATGAATATACTGTTGGATTTAAAATTGTCCATCGATTTTGGATTTCTTAGATTCTTAGAGTCCACTATTAAGTTGTCAAGGACGCTTTTTATTAAAAATAATGTCTTTTTATTAAAATAATTTATTAAAAATAATATACGGATCCACTATTTCCTAGTCATCGAAACCTTTTATGAATATACTGTTGGATTTAAAATTGCCCATTGATTTTGGATTTCTTAGATTCTTAGAGTCCACTATTAAGTTGTCAAGGACGCTTTTTATTAAAAATAATGTCAAATTAAAGATTGTTTGAGAAAAGTGTGTAATATTAATAAATAAAATATATCTATTAATCGTTTTATAAATATTCATTCCGAAAATGTCCAATCCCAATAGGACTCATAGATCTGCCAGTTAGTTAATAGTTAACTTAAAATTTATTTGTTTCATTTTAATAGTTATTATTTTTATTGAATCAATTAGCTGTGTAATTATTGTTCTTCGCAGTTATTTTGCTTGGTAATCCGAAAATGGGAATTATTGTAGTCATTCGTGTAAAAAAAAAAATTGTGTTTATTTTCGAGAAAGGCATTAACATATGGGGGAAACAACTGATGAAGAATATCTAATAATTCTGAGATAATGAATAATGGAAATCATTAATAAGAAAAATAATATTGTGAAATAGCATTCACAGATGTTGAGGGCGGGGTGGCTGAATGGGCTAAAGCGTGTGCACAGCACCGCGAGTTGTCTGGCAACCGGATTACAGATTTTAAAAAATACGAGTTCGTGTCGCGGTGCCGGAGGGGATTATGAATTCCCCGCCCTCACCCCCCGGCCCGGGAAAATCCCGTATAGCCTAAGAGGCGAGGAAGGGTAGAAAAAAAAAAAAAAAAAAACCATTCACAGATGTAATAATTAAAGGTTTTATCTATAACTATTTCTTTTTTAAAGCTCTGTAATATACTTGTACAAGTTCGATTCAGCTTTCATGATGAGTAGCCTAAATTTTGAATGTAAGTCAGCTCCTGCTATATAACTGAACATGGTTAAGGTTATAGAAGTAATTAAATGGTGGAAGAGGTAATAGTAACTGACTCGCCTTTGTTCTCTTTTGGATAAACATGAACGCATTCAGCACTCCATGAACAAGTGTGACCGAAGTGATTGGGAACCATGCATTAATCCGTGTGGAACTAGTACTAAATTGGGATATATGGGGGCGTCTACAGGGATCTCGAGACGAAACTAAAACATTTGATAAATTGCCTTGTGCGATTGTACCATTTGTACCATCAATCCAAATTAGCATTACAAAATCAAACCTGATAGTTTTATTTGCTAGAGATTATACAAATTTTTACTCTTCGTTCACTCTCCAGCTCTTCATATAAATTTCTGGTCACTTAATTTATTTAATAAACTTATTAATGTCCTCCCAGACTTAAGATGCTTATCCTCGATATTCTAGGTTTACATTCCCAAAGTTAGTTGACCTTTCAAAAGTTTTTGCTTTTAGTTATGAAAAACAATATATTATGAAATATTTTAAATAGGGGTATACATTGCATTTTTTAACTTCATATTTTATTAATGATTTATTTAACCGTTTCTTATCTATTTCAAAATACATGTTTCTTAAAACCTATTTTCTATAATAGCCAGGTGAATACTAATAATATCATATCACTTTGGTTTATCAAGATATACATCTTTCTAAGCCCAATTCCAAAACAGCTGTTGAAAACCAACTACGAAGACTTCAATCAATCAATTTTATTCCCAACTGATAAAAATATGAAACACATAACACAACAGTACATAATCACATTGATGTGTCTGAAGGAAAACCTACTTTAATACTAACAGTCACAAGTCAGAAAAATTTAGCTGTAGTTCTGACTACTTATATTATTAGAATAGAATGGTAATTATTCTCAAGGGCCACATTTAGCCACGAAATATAAAAATTATGTTCTGGGACATTATAATTTTTAAGTTGAGAACTAAATATATGTCTGGTTAAATCAAATGGAAAATTATAACTACTGAAATAAAAATATCAGTTATTTCCTACCACAAACATAATACAAACCTCCTATTTGCATATATGGCATTCCCATTCCAGGGGGCATAGGTATTCCTGGTACCATAGGTGGTCTCCCAGGATAAGACATGACCATATAACCGACACTAAAACAAAATCGTAAAGAACATACATGAATATTACAACATTATTACTTAAATTTAAGTACTTCGTATCAAGTATTGAGTATTACTTACTTCCCTGCTGATGTGGTTGGAATGAATGTAGTAGGTAAGGTTCCAGGTGGAACCAAAGAAGGATCTGTAGACATCTAAGAAATGAAATACTTCTATGTTATAACGTTAATAGTAAAGAAAGAACATACAAAAGCAATAAATCACACATCTACAACACTAAGTAAAAATTTCTATACAAGATAAAGGTAGCGAGAAAAATATAAAACAAAACTAAAAAGAGAGTTTAAAAGCACACGTTCCTTATACATCAAATTCAAATGACAAGATAAGCATACCTCCTTAAGGTAAACTGAACTGTTAATATTTGTACTATGAAACCAACTATCACCTCCTGACAAGAAACACACACAATTTTAACTGAAATAGTATAGAGTAACAATAAAATATCTGAACATTATTGTAGTGTACAAACATAAATAAAACTATCTAAACAGCCAACATCCAACTACAAAATACCCGACAACAAAATGGTGAACCTAGTATTCCAGAAGTTGAAGTTATAAAGTTAAGAATGGTTTTAACCATTAAAGTTCCAGGAAATATGATGTGATATTATACTACAAGTAGAAATAAAGTTTAATGATAGTATATCCTTTATATAAAAGTAATATCTATTAGTAAATTCTTGATATCAACATATAAATACAGTTGGCTGTGACTAGAAAAATCATTGCAACCGGGTGTGCGTCTTTCAAATTCTAGGTTATAAGTATCTACTTATTACTGAATTGAATTAAGCGTAGTTGTCATTGAAGAAATGGTGTCAGTTGCTCATCCTTTTATGGTAGTTTAATCTATAATCAACGTACTCGTTGATTTTCAAACATTTTTAAAAAACTTGTGTAATGTTTTCAGGACGTTGAAAGTTGTAGGTCTTATATCGATGAACTGTACTCTCCAGATGAACAAAAGTGTTTAGATGCAATAGTGTAAGTTTTTTGAATAACTAATATGATTGCCCAACTGTAAATATCTATAAATATTCAGATGATAAAGGTAATTATATTTTTTTAGTTCTCTGAAGAATTCTGTTATTGGCAGTAACAGGCAAAAAGGTAGTGTCATAGCTCAAGGTGTTGTGACAAGATTAACACAGTTGTTACAGAATATTTCCATACCTACAGAAATACGTATTGAAGCAGCAGTTACTCTAGGATCTTTAGCCAAAGGAACTGAATCTCATGTCAAGCAATTAATTGATTTTGGCATTGCACCTCTTCTTTTAAGTTGTATGTATTCCAAAATTTTAAAACAACATGGCATAAGTGTTTTGTTAAGGATTTTATTATCTGCTACTTATTTGTAGGTATTCTCTCTAATGACGATACTAAGCTTACTGATGTATGCCTTCGATGTGCATGCTCTATTTTCTCACATCCCCAAGCACCTTATGGACTTATATTTCGAGAACAACAAACAGTTTCCCACCTCCTAAAGTTAGCCATGCAATCTGTTTCTAATCAAATATGTGTTACAACTATACTGAGTGCATCTTGCAAGGTACTAAGTGTTGCACCATTTGATTTATAAAATAGTATGCAGAATGTCTGATTTTTTGTATTTGTTTCTAGACACTTGAACATCAAATGTTATTATGTGATCAAGGAGCTATTTATACATTAGCAGCTTTATTATGTTCTCCACATTACTCAGTGTTGATGCCCACTCTAAATTGCATAGCTAATCTCGCATATCAAAATTCTAATGTGTCAGCGATAATAGCCACAGCTAGGTACATCCTAATTATAATTTTTTAATGTTATATAAATTATCATTGATCTACTTTTTTATGTTTTATAAAGCATACTGATAGTAACTTAAGAAAAACAGTATACACAAGTGCTGTTCCACTTTGATAGTTGGGCACAAGATCTCATCACCATGTTATAAATGGAATTCCAAGAATGACAAGTATATCTGAAAGTAGATGGAAGTGACAGTTTGGTCATCCCCTACCTTAACTTAATATTACTCGTTTAGAGCTTTTTTTCATTTTTCAGTGTATGGTAGATGAATATTGTGTTCTAAATAAAGTAAGGTATAGCTGTCAATACTGTGCCATTCTCAGAATTCCACTTATTGTTTGATCATGAGATAAAGCCCACATATCAAAGTGAAGCAGCACTCCTAAAGTAGTAACACAGAAACTTTTATTTCATATAGTCTTTGAATATATGGTAAATCTATACAAGTGTCGCTCCACTTTGACGATTGGGCCAAGATCTCATGATTGCAGTATAAGTGAGATTCTGAAATTAGTCCAAAGATCGACTTATGCACACTATAACATTTCTTTACATCACGATTTGCGACTGGCAAACCCTTCTGATCCGTATCATTTAATATTGGAGCTGTAATTACATTGCTGCTGCATAGTCTTGCATAAAAGGAATCAACAAACTTCCAAAAGGTCCTTTTTATTTGAAGTAGGAGCTTACTGTTTAATTTCTTCTGTCTTTTTTATATAACTCAGGATTCTATTTATTGTGTGATCATGAAATCTTGTGCTACCCTTGAAAGTGGAGTGATATTTGTACTGGTTGAATTCCTTGGTTATTATCAGAAAAATAAAAAAAACAAATGTGTAATATTTTAAACAGAAACTCTTTAGAGTCTATTGTTTCCATTTACAAGTTTTTAGATGTATTCTTGTTGTACTATCGATGTATTTTTTATTTATATAATTATGTGATAAATAGTGTGTTGGTCGAACTTATTTATTTTGAATAAATGTGAAGTCATCGAATGTTTTTTTTTTAAAAAGGTATTAATTCAAAGGTTATGAATAACATATTTTTTCATTTTATTTCTTTATTATTCAACATTTTGGCCTCTCAAGCCATTTTCAAGATTCTTCTATCATGAACCGTTTCATAAAACTTATTTTAAATATATTATTTGTCAGTTGATTAATTCTTTATTTTGTTGAACGTTGTTTTGATTTCTCCTTTCTAGAAGATATAAATAATATAATAATTAGTTTGTATTTTTCTTTCGCTCAGTTAATATGGAGTGGGGTAGTAAAGAAAACCGAATAGCTGTTATCGCCTTACAAAAAGTTGGAAAATGTTGGTCAGAGATTTTCAACACTTTGGAACTTTTGGGTATCAGCCATATGTTCATGCACCTCACTATAAATAGATATAATGAGACCCTATCTGTATGTGACAGACCTCGACCTGCACTATGAGAACGGCAAATGCAGTGAGTGCAGTGGCTTCTCGAATCAGAAGAAATCCTATTCAAAAACACCAAATCATGTCTCGGGAAATGGGAATCTCTGTCAGATCAATATCTCGCATAGTAAAAACTGACCTTAGGATGAGTATATTTTGAAGAATGACAGGACAAAGGCTATCCACTTCCCTTAAAAAAATTAGAGTGCATAGATGCAAAGTGCTCCTTGGCTGTTACACCAATGGTCTTTATCAAAAGATTTTGTTTATCGATCAGAAATTTTTTACAATTAAAGAAAAATTTAATCGCCAAAATAATCATCATTACGCACACAGCTCTAAAGAAGCCCAGGAAGTCATTGGAAGAGTGAAAAGAGGTCATCACCCTTCCTCAGTGATGGTTTGGTAGGGAGTTTGCTTTGATGGCAATATAAAGCTACATTTTTGTGAAAAAGTAGTTAAAACAGCTGCTAAAAACTACCAGGACAATATTTTGGAACCTGTTGTCAAGCCTCTAAATAATACTCTGTTTGCTGGAAGTCACTGGGTTTTCAAGCAGGATTCCACTCCAGCTCACAATGCCAGGTCAACTCAGCAGTGGCTGCAGAAGAACATTCCGGAGTTCATCTCTGTTTCGGATTGACCCTCAGGAAGCTCTGATCTGAACCCACTAGATTACTGGTTTTGCTCTGAACTGGAGAGGATGGCATGCCACTGAGCACACCCTAACTTGGAAATCCTCAAACAATCTCTGGTCCGAGCAGTTGAGCACTTTCCTCAAGAAGTGCTGTGTGCTGCTATCGATGACTGGCCATAGAGATTAAATGCCTGTGTCAAGGCAAAAGAAAGGCATTATGTATAATTTCTTTTTTGTTTTATTCTCTATAAATATACATTTTATTTTCTAACAAAGTTTTTGAGAAAATTATTTTTTCTGTTGAAATCTGTATATATTTCCTTGTAACAATATTTATGACAGGACTAGATAGTTCTTGTATACATGGATGGACTGATACCACTCTCCAGTTCTGTTTAAGAAATAATATACCGTTCTTTAAACTATTAATTAGCAGGCTTTTTGTGAATTATAATAGATTTTTAACAGGCTTTTTGGCATTTATAATAGATTTACTATTAATACTATTATTTTAATTGGTCATTTGGCTTGTACATTTGTGTAATTAGTAGTTATTAAACCCTATATTTTCAATATTACTATTAGCTAGCTTATTCTTTCTGAAATAGTTGGTTGAATTTTAGTAAATCAAAGTTCATATAATCTATCCTCATTTCAATAAATGTTGACATTCTTAAATTGTAACATCTTTGAAATATTCAAGCAGTACTGTCATCTTGATATTTCTACACCGTAAACATATTTCTTTAAATCAAGACCTCAATGTAAGCAAGACCTCTGTTAATATAGTAGAAATAGTGTCACAGGGTTTTCAGGACAGGAACTGTGTTTGGAAAATCATGACTAAACTGATAGTTCCTGGGGAGTTGATGAAGACATGTAGAAATGACCCTAAATGTTGATTTAAAATCAAGTTTCTTAAGCCTTTAAGCTTCAAGCAGTCCTGACTTACAGCAAGGAGATGGACTCTCAGGAATGCTGTTAAACTTGGAACTGGAGAAGGTTATAAAAACATCATGTAAAAATGGAGAGGTGCATTTCAGAACGAATTATAAAATTCTTGGATTTTCAGATGATATAGCTGTCCTTGGAAGCAACCAAGAGAACATTGAGAAACTTGCTAAGCCTCTGATAAGAGAAGCAGAGTATATCGGCCTACAAGTAAATAAAGATGAAACTAAATATATGATATTAAATCAAAATTTCCTCCATAATAACAGGATATATGTTGAAAAGACATTGTTCCCAAAAGAAGACAAATTCCAAAACCTCAGCTACACAATAACCCAAATGAATGACCAAGAGTCAGGAATAGACTAGTGTATGGCATGTGCAAGTAGAGCTTTTTTCTCTTGTTCAAAAGTATTATATCCCTAATCATATCCTGAAAAATCTCAAATTAAGGGTGTTCAAAGTTTTGGTAAACTTATAATACTCATAACCAGTTCTGATATATGGTTAAGAAACTGGACACTAACCGGCAACCTAAAAAGAAGTATTGATGAATTTACAAGAAAAATTCTCCACAAGATAGCGGGGATCAGAGTATTAATACACGGAGGGAAAAGACTCTATAAAGAGATGCTTACAAAAATTGGTCAATCAAAATCTCTTAATATTAAGGCAAGGAGGTTAACAATAGGCAAAAGACCACGCGGAAAACCAAAAACCAGATGGATAGATTAAATCATCAAAGATGCAATAGAGCTGTATCCAGATAACTGGAAAGACAGCCAAGTTACACAGATCATGAGATGGACAAGGTTGGTATAGGCAGAAAAAGATCTACAAGGCCAGTACAAAAAAAAAGTGTTATAGAGTCACTAGTCAACCAATCTGAATGATTTGTATGATATATTGGTTCATTTTTCAATAAAAAATAATTTATTAAAGTTATTATTTTATCATAGATCCTGCATTATTACTTAAAAAGTAAAGAATCTCCACAAAATAAAATCATTAATTTTTGTATTTCTCTTTGCACTCAAAGTAGTTAAGAAAGTCAAAGTTGACCTACTAGGTATATTATTCAATTGAGACAGGGTCACTTCAACTAAAGAACTTGTTTCATCCTGTAAAAAAGTGTTGTTGGGACAAGCTCATTCTTAAATTCTATTAACATACTCCAATTTAATGTTAATGTCAATGAAATTTTAATTAGGTTATAAACTGGAATGGTCTTTTATATGGTGTTAAAAGATTTTTTTTAAATTATTTATGTTTATTCAAGACTAATTAAAATTAAAATAATAATTAACTAATAACATGCCAATTATGAAATGGTATCTTAATATACATGTTATCGTCCTATAAGTAGAGAGAAATATTTATATGAAGGATATCAGACCTCAAGAGCTACAAAAAAGTTTATATAAACATTGGTCCAATTTTTGGCAGAAAAGTAGGAAATAAGTTTTGTGTATTTTTAAGTAAGTCACATTGTTTGTTGAATAGGAATAGATAACTAAAAAATATTTAATGTAAGTAATTAACAATTGCTCCTCAGAAAACTAGACAAAATTTACTTAAAATGAAATTGAGTTTGTTGTTAAAACCATTAAAATAGTACTTATGAGCTGCTAAGCTGTTCTGTTTTTAAAAAATTGTAAATTATTTATGTTTTTTTAAATTTATTTATCATCCTTCAGCAATACTAAAGATACCCCACTTTTAGAAAAACTTTCTTAATAAGCTTTAAGTCCATATTAATTAATTTGAGATTTATTAGAAAAAAGGTCGAGATCTACCTCAACTTGTGTAAGAAAATTATGTGATTTTATATACTGTCTCCTAACCGTACCCATGTTTTCAGCAAAAATGACTACAATAAATTATTACAAAGCTTCAATTTCTTCTTCTTTTTTTTTTCAATTACCTGGGATGTATAATGATAAATATAAATGCTTAAATAGACTTTTTATTTCTAAAAATAATGATTTTTCATGATAGTGGATAAATAATTGACAGTCATAGATGTATTGAAGAGAAAGTTGGTTGAGGTGTTTAGTCATACAAGTAACAAAATAAAAATTAATAAATTATATTTTTGTTTCTTTTTGCCAAAGTTCAGGCCTTCATCAGGTCTAAGAAAAGACAAGATAACTTCAATGTGAGAAACTATGAGACAGTTAGAGTAATAATATGTATGTAAAGGGTATAGTCTAATAGCATATAGGTAGAATAAACTTAACATTAATAAGTATTAAATATGTGGAAAGACAAATATATGATATATAAATAAAGGAAATATAAAATTACGTTATCAAAGTTGGGAATAGAAAGTAGCGGAAGCAAAGTTAGGAACTTATGAAATAAATAATAACAGCAACAGAATCAGCTGCTTATGACATAAACAATGAAACAAGGCAATACATATTTGTCTGGTGACAGGTGTAGTTTAGGTAATGTTTGTAACTCTCAAGATGAAAAATTGTTTTGAGAAATGTGGTTTAATATTATACTAATTAGGAGGCATTTGTTTAAAAACTACAAATGATGATCGAACAAACCCAATGCTTTTTTCAATTTAGTTTTACTAGTTATCTGCTAAAGTTCATCCAAAGTTATAGGGTTCTCAAGTTCTAATTGTCCAGTCAATGTTTATAGAAGGAAATTTCAGGAATACAATTTTTTGGGGCATTGTTTGGACTAGTAAGGAGGTAAACATACTAAAAGTCCCCACTCCTAGGTGGTGAGCCAGATGTGGCGAGCGCCTTTTTTCGGATTTTCGCTTATATCACATCGACAAAGACATTTTTTATCAAATTTGCAATATGGTTGATTATATATATTTTTCGCTATCTCGCTTAGTTTCCGAAGTAGTCCTCAACTATCTCTGTCAAAAAAAAAAATGTTCACCTCATGTTTTTTACTGTATTTAACTAGTTAACTCGAGATTGCTTTGTTTTAAGATTTATGTCATGGGGGAAAAAGTTTTTAATAATTAAATTTTCTTCAATAAAATATATTATTAGTAATTATTTGGCAATAATGACTTCCAATTGGTGACAATTGAATATATTTCTATTATCAACGTTACATGTTAACAAGTTGACGTTTCGGAATATTTACTCCCATCTTCTGAACTACAAAAGAAAAAAGAATAAAATATATTATTTTACTAGTTCATCTTCAATTTTTCAAAAGTTAGATCAGTTATAACTTTAGAATTTGATTCTGAGAATTTGCAGAAAAATGTAATTTTTATAATAAGTATTATTGTATTTATGTATATCTATTTATCTACGTAGAGGGTTGGAGCAATATAATAATAACGAATATAATAAAAATTATTTTTTCTGGAAATTCTAGGAATTGACTTATAAACTTTTGAACTGTTAGGAATAAAGTTGTAAAATAATATATATTTCTGAAGAAGATTATTTAATTTTTTTTTTTTTTTTTTTTTTTTTTTTTTTTTTTTTTTTTTTTTGGGTCCTTCCCTTCCTCGCCGTTAAGGCTATACGGGATTTTCCCGGGCCAGGGAGTGTGGGCGGGGATTTAAAAGACTCCCCCGGCACCGGGACGCGAACTCGTGACTATTTTTATATCTTTGTATTCATATGTCAGGTTGCCAGGCAACGGCGGTGCAAGTGCACACGCTTTAGCCCATTCGGCTACCCCGCCCACAAGATTATTTAATTATTAAAAACCTTTCTTTTCTATGATTTAATCACAGATAGAAACAATCAAGAGTTAGCTCTAAAGAACAACCCTCCCTCCTCCTCCCCACATCTGGCTCACCATCTAGGAGTGGGGACTTCTAGTATTTTTGCCTCCTTACTAGTCCAAACAATGTCATGTCGCAAAGTCAAAAATTGTGTCTCCGCCATTTCCTTTTATGAACATTCATTGACTGGACTATTAGAACTTGAGAACCCTATAACCTTGGATGAACTTAAGAAGATAACCAGTAAAACTAAATTGAAAAAAAGCATTGGGTTCCTTCGATCGCCATTTGTCGTTTTTAAATTAATACCTCCTAATTAGGCCACTCCCTCATGACTTTTCAATTTGCAATAATAAGAAAAAATTATATTAAAGATCTCTCCTAAGTACTGAGAATAGCTTTAATGACTTGTCATAACATTGTATTCATTGCACTTCCCTAGACTGATTTTCCTAAAGATTTCTGTGCCTAATGTTGTAAATATTTTGAATTAGTAATGCTTCCATAACTGTTGGGAAAAAGCGCTTGGTAGATGTTTTAAAGTTGGAATGGCGTGCTCCATACATATATTTAATTGAAATTATATATTATCAAAACTGTTTGTAAATTATTACTAATTTATTTCATTTTGACTATCTAACTATTATTTAGATTTACACCCATAGGTTTAGTAGGTGTTAAGTATAGATATTAATATCTATTATTAATAGATTTTATGATTATGTTTAATTTTATTTGTTGTTTACAGCTTTGGTGGAGTTTCAGTTCCTGATCTATTAGTTGGTTTAATGTCACGGGATCGTCCAAGTGAAATGCAGCTTGCTTCTGCAAAATGTTTAACCTATATTCACCGTGCTGGGGCCATATCTGCTGAAGATTCTAAAATCTTGTATAAAACACTTCCTTGTCTTGTATGTTCATTGTAAAAATTTCTATTTATACATATACATTGTTTTATCACATTTTATGTTTACTATTAAAATGAGGTTTTATATTGGAGGAAATATGTTGGAATCATTTGAAAATACTGGAATATATATATTTATATAGCTCTATTCTAATTATATTTGTTTTCAAATACTTCTGACTACAGATAAATGCAATTTTTTTTATTTAATCTATGTGTGTTTATATTTATGTTTTTAACATATTATATATGTTCTACGTAACATGTTTTAGATCATGCAATTATTTTGATTTTTTCTGACTAAAAGATATCATAAATAATTTTAAAATCTATTTTAGTCTTTTACTTTTTATGTTTAAAAAAAATATTTGTTGTAAAGTACCTTTATGAAATAAAAATATATAAAAAGTCATTTATTTGTTCAAAGGTTGTTCTTTGTAAAAAAGATCATACTTGTGAAGAACGTGTAGTAGCTGCGGAAACAATTGCGTACCTTACTGAAGTAAACACAGACCTCCAGAGGTTAGCATCAATTTCTAATCAGTTAATTCCTACTCTTGCAAATATGTTGCATTCTCAAACTGAAGCGAATAATAACAATAATGTTCATCTGGATCCATGTGTTATAGCTGATATGAAACAGGCTGCTTTTAGGGTAAATTTTTTATGCATATACTTTATTTATTAATATTTCTTAAGAGGAAGAAAAGGTTATATGATTTAAGAAAAGGCATTTTTGTTATTTTTCCAACCTGTTATCTATTAGAAAAATTTTGAACCTTTTATTAATGATGTTATAATAATAATTGTCATTGATTTTGTTGTTCTAATTATATTAAAATAAATATTCATTTTAATCTGTCAATTTAAGTCTGATACACTTGTAAATTCCATTTTGATGATCAATAGATTAATTTTATTGTTTATGACTTTAAGTTATTTCTTCAGTTTAAATAATTTATATTACAAATAGTTGTAACCGTTGATAAGTATTTTTATAATTTTGAAATCCTTAACCTATTTTATGGCAGGCTTTTGCATCATTGGGAGCTAATGATGAAGACATCAGGAAACGTATTATAGAAACTGAGAGACTGATGGAAGAAGTTGTTTGTGGTTTAGAAGATCCCAATGACAAAGTGAGGCTTGCAGCTGTGCGATGTCTTCATTCGTTGTCTCGTTCTGTTCAGCAGTTGCGAACAACATTTTTAGTAAGTTTTATATTTTAAATAACTTCAAAAATCTATTTTTACCTAATGTAAGTTATATCATAAATAAAAACTTGAGTTCTGTAATAAATATTAACCATTAAATATTTTTTCTGATATGCAGGCTCATTTTCCATTAATAATAATGATAAGGGTAAGCGAACCCGAAGGTTCGATGCCGATACCACCAATCGAAGTCTACATTCTTCAATCCACCGGGCATCATCTAAACCTAACCCCACCAGATCAGCTTGAATGCAATCTTCTCACCTTCACTTCGGTCTACCCCTTTTACACTTACCATTCGACACAGCATATATTGAATTTTTAAGAATTCTTTCGTTATTAAGTCCAGCGATTTTATTTTATTCACTTCAACCTAATTATCTCAATTACAGTAACTAGTCAAATATTATATGCAATACTTTATTTTCAAAAACTTTAAGACGTTGCTCATCCCTTAAGGTAAGTTACCACGTTTCGTATCCATAAAGAACGATAGGAAGGATAATGATTTTTTTATGTTTATATCCAATAATTATATCTGATTTTTAAGTTTCGGGACAAAAGCCGCAAGCTAAATAGTTTCGCAAGTGATAAATAGAAAGCATTTCCTACCTTTACTCTAGCCTTAACTTCGATTTTGTTTTTTATTATATCTTAGATCCTAAATACCTAAACTTCTCTACATGTTCAATAATTTTTCCTTCAAAATCTTTTACACCAAAATTGCCACCAATTTTATGGTCTATATTTATTTATTTTTTCTGTCTTTGCTTAACAGTACCAAATCACCCACCAGCATACCCAAACACAGAAATTGTTCCACCCAGATTCAAATCTTTTTCGGTGTGTATCACCTCTCTAATGGAATGTTCTAATGGCAAATTTAATAGGATAGGTGAAAAGGAATCACCTTGTTTTAAACCCGAACGAACCTTATATTTCTCAGATTAGTAATAACCGATTCTAACTTTATTGAATGTTTCGGACATACACATCCTAACTAGATTCAACTTTTTTTTTTTTTTTTTTTTATATCCTGCTCAATTACAATATTATACAGCTTCTGATGGTCAGTGGAGTCATAAACCTTTTTAAAATTGATATAAAGCTGGTGAACAACAGCGTTCTTATCTAATTTTTTCTCCAGTATTTGACATAAAGAAAATATTTGATCAATAGTTGAACGGTTCCGTCTAAATCTGCATTGGTAGTCTCCGATAATTTCCTTTGCATATTTCGTGATTTGACTTGTTAAGACTGATGTAAATATTTTATAATATACTAGGAGTGAAATCCCACAAAAACTATTACCATAGACTGGATTTTCGTGCAGTAAAAAACCATAAAATGTGCAATTTAAAAACCAAAATGTGCAAAATCGTGCAGTAAAAACCCAAAAAATGTATAAAATTTTATACATAACATGCAAAAATCATAGTTTTTGTTTAATTTGTGACATGAGAAAAATCTTTTTCTGATTTCAAATGAACGACAATTATTTTAATTCTGTACAAAAAATTAATCATATATTTTTCAAAAACAGTGCATTTTTTAATCGAGGCTTGATTTTACACAAGTAGATCATTTTAAATATTTAAAATTTAGAATTTAAGTAAAGCTCCTTAGCTTTTATTAAAACCTATAGTTCCTCGCATTACCAGCAGAGTTTTGTCAATGAACATTCGTTATGTAAATGGCCAAAAAAGTATACCTGAAACATACTTTTTCTGTGTAATCCATCCATTCTTCATTATCAATATATTCATTAAAAGAACTGCAATCAGCATTAGTGCCAACAAACAAAAAAAAAATTCTTCAGAGCCTGGTAATATAACTTATGAAGTTGTTAAATTTCTGAACAAATTCCAGAAATGTGGGCAAAAGCTAACTTGCATCTTCTGTGTAAGAAAGGTGATAAATGGATCCAAACTACAGAGGTATACCCTTGCATAATACTCTAGCAAAGTTATTTACTAGTATCCTGAAGATTGTAATTATGATATTGACAGAATCAGAAAAATATATGCCGGATGAACAGGCTGGTTTCAGATTGGACAGGGGGTGCATCTGTCACATATTCATATTGATGTCAGTTGTCAACATTAATCTGAGGTCAAAGGGCAGTTGTGCTTATGCAGTGTTTGTGGATCTGAGGAAGGCCTTTGATTCTATTAACCAAAACTTGCTGTAGGAAAGACTTTTTTCTCCAGGAATGGGAGAATATCTAGTTAGACTTCTCAACAATCTCTTATGATGCTTCATCGATGTGGATAAACCTAAAACATGAGCTTTTAGAAGAAATTGGTATCAGCCTGGGCCTCCCTCAAGGAGAGAGTCTTAATCGTGCATTATTTATCCTGTTTGTGCCGGATATCATTGAGTACTTTCATGACTGAGGTTTTGGTATTAGCATAGGCCACAACCATGAGGTAGTCATGCTTTTGTTAGCGGATGATATTGTCCTCAGCAATTCAGCATGGTGCACAAAGAAACATCAATATATTGAACAAGCATTGTAAAGAAAAATCTTTTAATCTTAACCCAGCTAAATCTAAGGTGTTTTTTTTATTTTTTTTTTTAAGGTTTAGAATTTTACTAACCAATCATTACAATTTGATCTGACCAGATGCCAACATCTATCGGTCGAGGAACATTAATAATAAAGAAGCTATAGAACCTTCTTAAGAGGATCGTGATGATATGGGTAGGAATAAGGGATTATTATCTCTTAAAGAGGTCTGTAACTTGTGTCTTGGAAAAAAAAATATAATAAAAAGAACAAACCGTGTTTTTAGGAAGATTTCTGAAACATGTGCAAAAAAAGAAAAGCCGATAAATTAAAAGCTCTAAATAATCCTAGGGAAATTGTTCAAAAATAAAAAAATCTGGTGCGAGCATCACACGACTTTGGGACACCCCTCCGCGGTAATGAGTTCCATTAGCATTGGAAAAGTGCAGCCCTATGTTTAGAATTTGTTGAGTCCCTATTGGAAACCAACTGAAAAGTTTAGTTTGGATATTCTATTCAGTAAAATAATTTGTAAAATACCACAAAATGTGATGGATAACTAGGACAAGTCTCCTATTCATGTATCTCTGTGGAGACTGTTTCTGGGGATTGTAGTTCTTGAACAGTTCATTGATCACGATGATTACCTTAAGAGAATTTCACTTACATTTAATATGAAGATACCAATAGTCATTGCTTATGCACTCAGTTTTTTATTAAAAATAAAATTTTGCTTTAGTACATACATATTTTTAAAGATAAAACAACAATGACCCTATAGCAGACATATTTAAGTAAATTAGTTTGAGAAACTTGTTGGGTAAAGGAAAACAAGAGAGATCTAAGTAAGTAGTAACTTGAGGAAAAAATTTTTAATTTGTGAATGCCTAACATTAGCCTTTTAGGCCTGTTTTTTAAATAACAATCAACTTATGAATTATTGCACGAGATAGCAAGAATTTTATTTTTATTTAGTCCTCTTCCTGGCCACAAAATGTTTATTGTAGAATAAACATATTATAGTTAATTGTTGTTTTTATTATGTATTTAATTTAGGACCACTCAGTTTGGAAGCCTTTGATGGGTGTACTTCAAGGAGCATCAGATGACTTATTAAGTGTTGCAAGTTCTACTTTATGTAATCTCCTTCTCGAATTTTCACCAGCCAAAGAACCAATATTGGAGTCAGGAGGTGTAGATCTTCTTTGTAGCCTAACTCATCGGCCAGATCCTGCCTTAAGGTTAAATGGTGTTTGGGCATTAATGGTAATTTTTATAAATAAATAGATCTTTTGTTTCTTTTAACAACAGATATCTGTGTATCAAATCAGACACCCCATGCACACTAGTGGCTGTACAACAGCTGAAAAATGGATTTTTATATAGACTGTAGCTATAATTGTATACACATACATTGTAACTACTATTTTGATTAACCAAATGCTTGTACTGAAACTCCTTTAAATTTCATAAGAGTGTAATCTCAGTAATCTGGACTTCAGTGAATTCAAAACAATCCAATGATCTTTGCTAGACCAAACAAAAATGAAAAGTTTTATTCAGGAAAAAAGAAAGGAGACCTTGTCAAATTTTCAGAATTTTTGTAGCTCATATCCTCATGTCATCTTCCAATGGTTTTGGGACCATGGTTTAAATCTATGTATCTAGTTAATAAAGTTGAATGATTTATTGTAAATATTTTTCTAAACAACATCTGTGATCTGGTCTTTTTAGTAATCTAAAGGTACTATTTCGCTGGCTCGGCCCACGACAGCGACCTCAATTCCACGCCGCCAACCACTGTTGCATAGCTATTTCGCTGAAATTGCTTACTGGGGTTGCTATAACCTTCGAACATTTCGCTTTAACTTCGAAGATAAAAAAATAGACATCCTTTCTCTGACTACCGTTTTTTTTCTTTGAGGAGGAGGAAGAAGAAGAAGAGGAAATGTTGTTCTTAAGGAGAAGGAATATAAGTATTTCAATGAGATGCTATTCATCCAAATCATCAAATCCCTTCTTGGACATTGTTTGCTATTGTCTATATGAATAACCAAAAAAGAACAAAAAGGCGGAAAACGCCGCACTAACAATAGTCCCTCTGATATTAGATATTATAAGTTTGAAAAATAATAGTAATTACTACATGATCGATTAGTAATAAATATCATATATTTGTAATTAAATCACAGCAGGCGATGTTTTATCAATAGTAATCAGCAAATCCCCACTTTAATTAAAAAATACAAATCGATTTTTCAATGAGTGGATTTTAGTATTTACCTGACGTTAAAATTTGTTGGATTCTTTAATTAATTTAATATCGTTTGGATTTAGGTATATTTGAATTTTGCTGTAAAATATTGTTGGTGAAATAAATAATCTTGTTACTTCAACCTTAAAAAAATAATTTACTATTGCATTGTTTAAGTTTTAAACAATATTTCATTTCATTTTGCCAGACTTGAAAGAAACATAGGAAATAAAACGTATCAACGTGACTGTTATCATAAAAAAAATGCTCTTATATGATAAAATAACCTACAACCGCCAACAGCTCCACTGCTTGAAGAGCGTTCAGATAGGAGCAGCTTAGATATGACGTCATACCTAGACTGCCGAGCAGCGCCAGCGAAATAGGTTCCTTTCTATTCCACTAAAGCAGGGGTCAACCGCCAGCAGTCACGGTCATGGGCCGCGCAAGCGAAATATTACCTTAAACATTCCCTTTTAGAGCAATTCATGTTACTGAGATTGTACTCTCATTAATTAAATTTTATATCTATATTTTAGTATTTCGTTTAGATTCGATTCTCATGGAAACCGATCTCTTTTTATTAGTTTTTTTAATAATTCAAAAGCTATTAATCTTCCAGAGCATTCCAAATGCTCATTTGAAAAATAATTAAATTGTCTACACTTATAAAACTTGAATTAAAAAGTTATTGGTCTAATATACAGCAAACTATTCCTGTTTTGGACTCAGCATCCAAAGCGATGAAAGTTCACCTGTGAATGTACACACTGGATATTTAGGACTGGTATTGTAAATTTGATTCAGTCTTGCAATAAATTGAATTAAAATCTAGTACTAATTATTAACAGTTGGTTTATTTTATTAAACTAGCAAAAGCAATCTTCATTTTTGGTACTCTTCTTTTCCAGAACATGGCTTTTCAGGCTGACCAAAAAGTAAAATCACAAATTTTACATAAATTAGGAACTGAACAAATCTTCAGGCTTTTATCAGATTCTGAAGTAAATGTTCTTATGAAAACACTAGGTCTATTGCGAAATCTTCTTTCTACAAAACCACATATAGATCAAATTATGGCTCTTCACGGAATTCAAATAATGCAGGTATGAATCATTAATATGTGATCTGTTAATTCTTGGTTTACTTCATATAACTCTTGTGTTTTATCATTATGAAGGTTATTTTGTTTATTCTGTTTTGTACATGAATTTTAAATGTGCGTATTGATATGAAAAATGATGGTTATAGGTACATTAAAAATGTATGTAATGTTTTGCTAAAAGGCACAAATTAATGTATTTCATCTCCTTTTCTCTCACTTAACTATTGACAGTGGGGTAGTGTTGTAAAAACAAGCCTTGAGCTTCGACTCAAGCCGTGAAGGCTTGGCTCTAGAGCCATTAAATCTCGAATCTCCGAGGCTCGAGTTGAAGGCTCATAAGTTTCTAGTCATGATGAATTTAATTTAAAAAAAAAAAATTAAATTATTGTACATTTTCGTAAACAAATATATTTTTTCTGTTTGTAGTAAAAATGTGAATATATTTCTGAAAAATAAAGTGAATATATTATTTTTCTGTTGATATTAACAATGTTAATATATTTTTGAAATATAATGTAAATAAATAGATCAGTAAAAAGAAGTTAAGTTCCAGCCACAACTTGAGCCTTTTACTACCGAGCTCTTAAGACTTGAGCCTTGGCCGAGTCGAGAAAATTGTGGAGCCTTTTGGAGGGCCCCCATACACGGTCAATATTCAGTTTCGTCAATATATTGACCGTGTAAGGGCTACATTGGCATTAATTATATTGACATCAATCAAACTGTTTGATGTCAAATTTTTTAAAATATTTTTATTGAAGCTTCTTCAACATTATTGAAACACTCAGTAAAATTGCAGGTGTAAGAGCCTATATTGAGCGATATTAAACCATATATATGGATCCTGAGAAGCTCTGGGTGATACCAAATTTTTGGTGATCCTCGGATGATACTGTTTTATTTTTTTGAGTTGGTGGTTTAATTCCTCTCCTCCGAATTTTTTTAAAGATCTACTGGCAATATGTTTGTGTAGGTAGGTGATACTGGGTTTAACATTTTTTGGGGAGGAGATTAACCCCCCTCTGAATTTTTTAAAAATATAAAATGGGAACATCTTTGGGTAGGTGAGTGATACTTTTTTTAACTTAAATTTTTTTGGGGGAGGATAACCCCTCCGTCCAAATTTTTTTAAAGATAAAACGGCTACATGTTTGGATAGGTGGGTGAAACTTTTTCTACCTTAAATTCTTTTTTTGTGGGAGAGTGAATTACTCACACCACCCTCCTCTCCCCCCTCGATTTTTTTTTAAAGAATGATTTGTTAGCAATATGTTTCAATAGGTGAAGAATACTTTTATTTACTCTTAATTTTTTTGGGGAGGAATCATCTCCCCTCCCCAATTTTTTTTTTTAAATGATATAATGGCAATATGTTTGGGTTGGTGCATATTACCCTTTTGTATGAATTTTAAAACAATTTAAAAAGCACTTTATTAGTAATGTTGTAAAAGAGCTTGGTGAGAAGGCTACAAGGCTTGAACTGAAAAGGCTTGCGCTTTCTGACTCGTCCAAGACTAGATACTAAGAGGTTGGGGGTAGAAGGCTCGAACCGTACATGTTTTTCCTTATCTATTAACTAAAGTGCTCTTTAACTTATTTTACAATTTATACAATAAAGTAAACTGTTCTACATGATATTTGTTTGTAGTATTACATCTTTGGTGGTTTCTTGAATTATAATTATAGTTTTTATGGTGTTGGACCTATAAGAACGTTTTATGAATTTCGATCTAATTCATATATTAAAATATATCGTTGACTTTTTGCAATCCTTAAGAGAAATTACATAACTTTAAAACACTAAGCATTTTGATAATTTTTTACCTCTTGTAAAAATTTACCCTTTAGTAACTGTAACTATGACATATAAAATGATTTGTATTATTTTACTGTGTTTTTATCAATAAATAAGATCGAAATTCATAAAACGTTCTTAAAAAATCAGCATGATCAAAAAAGTAATTAGTGTCGTTATTCAATAAACCGACGTTTATTCTATTATATAACTGGAATGCACATAATGGCGTTTATTATATTATATAACTGGAATATAATTATTCTATTATACACTGGAATACATTATATAAAAGATCAATCAACCTAAACAATAGACTTTGTTTCAGTTAAAACTAATTGAAGGAACCTCTAAAGATGTTATACTGCTATCAAACATCATGTAGAACTGTTTACTTTATTGTAAAACAATTTTAAAAATAGATTAATAAATATTTGGTAAAAAAACAAGGTTCGAGACATGACTTAAGCCTTCAACCGCCAAGCTCTTAGGACTCAAGTCTTGACCGAGTCGGGTGGGAAAGCTCGATTCTTTTAGGCTCAAGCTTTATAGCTCTCTCTTTATAGGCTTTTGCAATTTGATTGTTGATATATGGATTTTTTATTACCTTTGCGAGTTAGTTTGTTATAGTCGAGATAGTGCTGCTCCTGACTGGCACCATTACCATAAAATACACCTTTTGTTACACACTATTTAATGTTATAATTAAATATAAGGTCCACTGCTTTCTTTATATTATGGATTAATTGGGATTATTATCAGTAATTAAAAATCATTACTGATTTAATTAAATCAAGATTGTTGGATTTCTGCCCATTCAAGAGCTGCATAAACCAGATTGGATGGGTCCGTTACCCAATGGGTCTTTTTAAGTTGAAGTCCATCCCATTTCTAATGCCTAATTTTGAATTCTTCAATTTGTAAGTATTGCTTTGTCGTAATTATACTCACAGAAACAAAGAAAAAAGGACAGGAAATAGGACCATGTGTGCTGCTACATTCTGGACTGAGTTTAGAGAAACATGCCTAATGGGAAGTTGGAATTATCTTTCATGAAAATTCAAGCCACTTAATCAAGAACTGGAAAGCTGTAAATGATAGGCTTATTATAAGTTCACCCTTACACAAGGGATCAACTTTTCTTCTCTGTTTGTGGAATTGTAAAAACAAATCAATACCTATAGAAAAAGATTTATTCTTTGAAATGTTACAGCAAGAGGTAGACGTGAGGGCATACCCATTATAATGGGCGATCTCAATGGCTGAGTGGTCAAAGACATGAGAAGATGGCAAGGAGCTCTCGAAAAATATGGTTAAGTAACAACCAACAACAACGAAGCGAGGATCGTCAACTTTAATTTTACCGTACAAATTTTTAATTTTCCATAGAAATTTATACAATAGTAGAGCCGGGGTAAAAATGAAAAATCCATTATCGATTATTTCATTGTCCCATCAAATGAAATAAAAAATATAATTAACGTCAGGGTCATGAGGGTACCTGAAATTGGCAGTTACCACATGCTATGGAAAATGGAAATCATCCTATGTAATAAGCCACAAAGAAGAGGAAGAAAAATAACGCAGGGTGAATAAACACTTGGTCTTTCAACTAAAATAAACACATATAAGTTGAAAGACCAAGAAACTGCCCAAGCTTATCAAAAGTCATTAGAAGAAAAAGCTGTGTCCAGTAATTACCCTTGGAATAATGATAATATCGAGGTAAGCTGGAGTATTTTCAAAAAATATTATTGAAGGCTGCAGAAATAGTGTGCTGAAAAAGCCAGGTAGGCCCCACAATCAAGCAGAAATCCTGTTGGAATGAGAAAGTAAAATGGAAGGAATTCTGAAGCAGATTACAAGAAGAACAAAGAGCGACAGAAGAAAGTAAAAGAAACGGTCCTTTAGTCTAAAAAAATAGCATGCGGAAAAAAAAAAAAAAAAAAAAAAGCTAGAAGAGAACTTCAAGGACAACCAGAACTCTAAGCAGCAGCTATATATTTATAGCCATATTCTTATATTTATAGCTGCTATGTATTTAGCAGAGCTATAGCATCAGTTATATATTTAAGCTTAATTATTATTTTTATTTTTCAGGCTGTTACTCTTATATTAGATTCAAATCATTCTGCTGATGTAAAAGAACAAGCACTCTGTATTTTGGGTAATATCGGAGATGGTGATACTGCAAAGGAATTTATAATGTCTAGAGAAGATATTCTCAACAAAATACAGGAGTACATGGTTAGTTATTTCTTTCATTTTTTAAATATTTTAATAAAAATAAATGAAAGAAATAATTGTCATCTTATTTAATATTTCCTCTGTATTACCTTTGAAAAAGTTAGTTATAAGACCAGCCGGAAAGAAAGAAAAGGTTAGAAATCATTATGATTTATTAAAATATTATTCCTGAGTTCTCGTTGCAATTACAAAAAACATAATATCTCTTTAAAAATTGATAAATGTTAACTTCCAGCTGTATGGATTCATCCAACTTAAAATATCCATAATCGAATTCGTCAACTTTTTTGTATTTCTGTTTTGCTTGATGAATTTAAGTTATGAGACTTTTTTTTTTTCTTTTCTTTTATTACGTTATAATTACCATTGATAGAATGTATGTTAAATTTGTTACAAGTAAAAAAAATAATAGTAAGATAAACAAAATTATAAAGTGTACCATAGAATAGATAAATTGACCATCATTGGTGACAGAACTCACTTCAATCATTGTTGAGCTTTTCTTTTTTTGTTTGATATTGAATCTGGATGGAAAAATTTTGATTATTTTACTTTTAAAATATTAAATGTCAAATGTTGTAGTTTAAATATTTTTATTTGTTTAATTACAGACCCATAGTAATGTAAAGTTACAAATAGCTGCGATTTTTTGTATATCAAACTTGGTATGGAAGGAAGAAAATGGTGCTGCTGAAAGACAAGCAAAATTGAAAGAAATGGGTGTCTATAGGTTACTTCAGCAGTTGATAATGACTTCTGACTCACTTCTCTTTGATAAGTAAATATTTTTCGAAGTCAAGGAATTCTCTTCTTTTTTTTTTTCTTTTTTTTATTCATAATTTTAAATTTCTATTTTTAGCGATGTACTCAAGCAAAAACTAATAGAAATTTCTAAAGAAGGAGTTGAGGATTAAGGATTGGTTAATTTGAAGTTATTCGGTGCATATTGAATGTAAATAAAACTGTTTAATATTCTTCTTATAAAGTTTTGGTGTAACAAAAGGTTTGCCATTAAATTTTTCGTACTTTATGACCCTTCAGAAAATTGAACAAATGTACATATAATGTTTGTTACACATTCAAGAGATCATTGTGTAACTTTTAGTATTTTTTTTTTTTTTTTTTTTAGTTTTATTTAAAATGTTTATAAAATATCTAAGAAAAGAATAACCATGGATTCAATTAATGGATGCACAAAATACACTGGTAGTCATAAAAACCGGCGCACCTTAAATTTTGTTGTTATTTCTTTCCCAATAGAATTTTTTTATCTTAATATAGTGTGATATATTCTGTTTCTAGGAGACCACAAAAATGGAAAAATTCATTTAAAAAAATGTGTAATGTGAAATATAGAGCAAATGGACATTTTAGAAGAAAAAAAAAAATGCATTTAATTATGAAATCAGAGTCTCTAGTGCCTATTGTTACCTCCCCTTGCTTGTACTCTCGTAGGCATACTGCGAATAGGGTTGGCTTCCTTATCTAGAATCTGATCCCATTCACGTACTTGGAGGTCATTTGGAGGGTTTTGTTGTCGATGGATGGACCTCGTCTAGGTAGTCCTGCACAACATTTTCAATCTATGGCTGAATATTATCCTTCATATAAAAGGAGCAGAAGGCGATTAACAGGCCAAAAGGTACAACATATTCCTGAAAGATGTCAGTGATGTATGTGTACTTGACTCCAAACGACCCCCACTATATCGCACTTGGCCTATTGCTTACTTGGTCTTTTACATACTGGAACTCGTCCGTCTACTCCATAAAGGCTATACCTAAACTCATTAGAAAACAGAACATACTCCAAATCATCTTTTGTTCTGGTAGCATGTCTACGATAAAATTGAAGGCTAGCTTCTCGGTGTGCTGCAGTGAGTAGAAAGCCGCAAGCAGATAATCTGGTGTGTAGGTTGAGCCCTATCTGCACCCCAAGCAATAAACAGTCAGTGATAAGTTGGGAACTGAAGTCTGGAAGTAGTTTCTGAGGGTCTGCATAGGAATGAAGCGGTTAAGCGGTGGGGTGGCCAAGTGGGCTAACGTGTGTGCACAGCACCACGCGTTGCCCAGTAACCTGATAATAGAATTATAGATAGTAAAACAATTACGAGTTCACATCCCGGTGCCAATGGGGTTTTTAACTCTGGCATTAACCTCCTGGCCCAGGGAAAATCCCCTATAGCCTAAAAGGCAAGGTAAGGGAGAGACAAAAAAAAAAATTATAAAATAAAAACAATGAAGCAATGGACTTGACGCTCTTGGATGGCCTGATCATAACTTATGAGTAGCTTCCTGTTTCCCAGTACCTCTGGGCTGTCTGCCAAACTGTTGTTTTAAGCAGCCCATGGGTTCAGGTCATAAATCATTGACTTCAGCTGTTCGCAATTAACGCAATAATCTGAACGACTGCCACGGTATCCAAAACCATTTTATACTCTCAAAAATGTTTAACACATATGAAATATTGTTTTTCAAGGGGGAAAAAAAAAAAAAATCAATCCAATGCAGTGAACAGGCAAATAGAGATAAACTGGTATGAGGTTCACTATTTGTTTTAGTACTTTTATCGTTAATCCTAGAGAGAATTATGAAATTTTCTTGAGAGGATTAATGCATGATAATCTCCTTTGACCTGTTATTACTTCAGGATCAAAAATATTTCTTTTATTTGCGGTTTTTATGTAAAATTCAAGGTGTGGCAGTTTTTTTGACAACCAGATTAACAGACCCAAAAAAAAATAAAGTATGATATGGCAAAGGTATGGTTATGATTTCCACTCAAATGTGTAATACGGTTATAATTTCTCAATTTTTTTTTAACTTTTATGCAATAATTATTAATATTGCATCAGATTTTGTTAAATTAATTACTTCTTGTTCAGAGCTTCATAAATGATATATCAGTATCGATAATAATACTTCATCAGCTAGCACAAGCATAATATGATGATAGGTGGAATTCATAATAAAAAGGTAATTTAAAAAAACAAATGTCTAATGTTTAGAAAACATACTTGAGGGTTTACTCCATCTGCTCAGCAAATGGTTTCCATTTTATCAATTATTAATACCTTTAGTGGGATATTTGATAGTTTATTCAAAGTTTTCCTTCTAAAGTTCTTTAAAAATCTTTAAAATAAAAATAACAATTATCATATTACTTTACAGTTTATGAAACTAAAAAGCAGAAATCAGTCCCAAAAATTACAGTACAGAACGGAGGGGAAAAACCTTGAACAGGATATGATTGTGTAACCTAAAAAACTAATTTAATGTCTGTTAACCAATGAATCAAATCTTTCTTATAATATTTTTCAAACCAATTTTTTTTCTCACATTTTCTTCTACATTTAATAGTTAATGATTCATCAGAGTTTTCTGTTTTATTTTCCTTTTGTCTAAAATTAACACTAATGTTTTTCTTGGTTAAATGTGTCAAAAATAATAATAAGTTATTATTTATAAATAAATAATACTAGGCAAGGTGTCTTAGTATTTAGAAAACTCTGAGAAAGGAGAAAGAAATTTTAAGCTGCTGGGAAGGCTTACTCACATTGGCTACATTGATCAGAATAATTCATTCCGATTCGTAAAATTAAATTATGAAAAAATGATGCTTGGAAATCTTAGAAAAGACCAAATTATTTCCAACTAATGAAATGCTGCAGAAGATAAAAATCATTCATGTTTGAAAGAGGATTAATAAGTGTTGACACTCATACAAAAGAATAATCTCTCAAATGTTAACAGTTATATAGAAGGTTAATATTAAGATAACATGAAATCATCCTGCAGCAAGTGGAAGCTTGTTTCTAAGGCCCAGGCCCTTTAAGGATTGTTGAGTTGATTAATAATGATAAAGTTCGCAAATGAAAATAATAATTAAAAAATGCAGATATGAAATAATTTATTTAATAAAAAGAAAATTTACAATATAAAGTAAAATAATTTTTTAACAAAGAAATTTAATCATTGCAATACTATACAAAATGAAAAGAAAAAATAGGATGGATAAATTTAGCATTTGTGGAATCTCTGTGAATAATGGTTAATTTTATTTTCATACATAATTTTATAATATTTTACACTTAAAATTAAGCTAATATATAAAAATTAAAAAAAAAAAATTCTAATTTAAAGGCATTTTTTCTAAATCACTGACTTCCTCATATATACAACTGTAGTAGGGCTGATCTATATTAATCTTTAACTGACTTTATCGGGTCCATAACTCAGCTGAACTTCGTTCACTCATATTTCTTTGTTTATATTTTAATGTAGGAAATCTGGTTCCATTTAAATTTATCTTGTAAAATGTCTACAAAATTTCACATTTACACACCTAAATGGCCTTTTTTTTCATGGACCTCTTGATTTTATATCAGGACATTGAATAAGTTCTCACTGTTTTATAGCAAATAGTATCAGTACTATATGTGTTTCATTTCAGATGGTAACACAATTTTCCTACTACTAAAGTTAGTAAACTAGGATTTTAGTATATGTTAGTTCGCCACACTGTGTGTGTGGTTGCGTGTGTGAACAGTGTGGCTCAAAAATTAAAACTCGGTCAAAACTGATAATAAGTATTTAAGATAGGTATATGGCTGGGATGTTACAGTAACCTTTTGATCAAAATAGACTTACCGGAAGTGGCACTTCATATCATCGATTTTACATGTTACATTTTCTCAAAAACTGCTTTAAAGATTTGATTGACCCTTTGACTGTGGAAGCTCATTTTCAAGTTTTTTAAACACAAATAACAGAGAAAGGACATACTTTAGGTTCAGAATAAATCTGCAACTGTTAGCTTTCAAATTGTCAGAATCCAAAACGACTTGCCTACAGGGAACTAATGAATGCACTGACCAAGCCACAAGTCAAATGATGAAAGCAAGACCTGCCCCTAACTGTTTAAGTGGCGACTGCCCAGGCGGTAAGGCATATATCCCGTCCGCACCAGTGACCCAACTCACTACCAGGAAGGCATATATCCCATCCGCACCAGTGACCCAACTCTTGACGGAAAGGCATGTATCCCGCTCGCAGTCAAAGAGTTAAACTTGTATTAATGTATAATTTAATGGTTTTTAATCTCAGATAGGTTTTTCACCCATTGATGTCGCATAACAGGGCTTACATATCCAATGTTCAAAACTTCCCCTAAAGTACTTTTAATTTGGTTCATTTTGAATAATCAGATATCTCTCATTGCTACAAGTAATAATAAAAGCCTAAATATAAACTATCAAAGAATTTGATATAAAAATAAAAATGAATCTCCGGTCGAAAATGAATCTCCGGATATACTAGTCAGAAGTTATACGTATAATATATCGTTGGAAAGTTGAGAATTTCATAAAAAAAGTATGTAATATACCAAGTTGTAGAAGGTAATGGAGAGTGACGAAAAAATCATAAATAATAATTTGTGAAAACTAATATTATTTAACATAAACCACATATTTCTTTGGGAATGAAATGCAATTTCTTAACTAAATGTAAACTTCTAAAATTATTTTTAAGTTTAAAAAAAATTTTTATCAAATCCACCGAATCAAGCCAATGACATTGTTTTAAAAAAAAAAAACTATTTCATTATACTTGTGTGAAAAAATAAAATAAAAAAAATATATATTGCATAGATGAGTAAAACATATGTTTATAACCTTTTAATACATTTACTGTAATTTAATAATTCTAGATCTGATAATATATTTAAATAATTAGATATCTATCGGTTAATTTCCAAAAATAATCATGTAACTTTTTAGAAAGTTAAATTAATGAATAATTTGACGTAATTCTGTGAAATCACATTACCCACTTCGGCGTTGACCAACAGGTTCATATATATATATATATTGGTGTAAGGCTGTTTTTTTTTTCCCTAACTGGACTATTTAGTTTTTGACCAGATTTGTATTAATTCATCTTTGTTATTCTAAGGGGACTTAGTCCCAGAGTAAAGTTCTATTTTCTATTCTATATATATGAAATATATAGCAACAGGTTCATATATATATATATATATATATATATATATATATATATATATATATATTATATATATATATATATATATATATATTGGTGTAAGGCTGTTTTTTTTCCCCTAACTGGACTATTTAGTTTTTGACCAGATTTGTATTAATTCATCTTTGTTATTCTAAGGGGACTTAGTCCCAGAATAAGGTTCTATTTTCTATTCTATATATATGAAATATATAGCAAAGGAAAGTATTGTGATCGTAAACATTTTCGAATTCAAATTTTCAATTGACATACACGTTTTGAGGTCTCCTAAGTCTGAATAATCAAGAACCCCAAAATGATGTGTGTGTCCTCTTATCAAAACCCGACACGGAATTCTTTGGGACTTTTTACGAGTTATGGGGAGGGTAATAAACAATTTCTGACAAGTTTCATTTTAATTTTTTTAATGTTGGGGTCAATCCCTAATTTTACTAGACTAATAGGTAAGTGAAAGTGAAAAGTAGTTTTCTTTTTATTCTTATTTTATTTAATGTCAGAAGCCTTTCAGCCAGAAGTTATATGTATTTTTTTTTTTTTACGATATTCTCTAGGGAATTTGTCCCAGAATAAAATTATTTTCTCAGATCAGACCATATTTATCATCACTAGTCTGAGCCAATTTTTGAAGTTGTTCAGTTCAGTATGAGAATACAGCGTTTTGTTTTTTTCTAAAACTGGTTTTTAATTAAGTTCATCTCTCAGTGCCAGAATCAACTTAAAAAACTTTTTAAGCAGTATTTAAGTTGTTTTTATCTTAAACTTCATGTGCTGAATTTGAAGAAAATTTTTGGGTTCATTGTAAATTATCATAGGGAAAAAACGTTTTTAGACAAGGAATAGTATGAAAAGAAATTTTAGAAAACTAGTCTGATATATTTCTGTTTTTGAACTACGTAGGTATATTGGTTGAGAAAAAATGCGCTTAACACTCAACTTTCACTTACCGCTCTACTTTTAATAGAAATTAAATTCAGATTAAGGGCTATTATAAAGTTTTTTGACAGAGCTAAACTTTAAACCAAAAAAAAGATTAATCATTAATACCATTACAGTAACACAAATCCTATTTATTATATGTATGGTAGGCTAATAGCTCCATTTGTCTTTCTGAACAATTTAATTCAAGTCTCTTAAGCTATACGCCAAGAGAGATTTGAAAGTACATCTGTATATTTAACCTATAAATGATTATGAACTGTTCTACATAGTAATACTTATAGGAACTAAATCTGAATAACATTATATCTGTTAATAAACTTGGGTTTTCCTTGGTAAAATTTTCATTTCCTACCATTGATAGGTCAAAAGTTATCACACTAATTTAAGTTGGATAATATTGTGATTTCACAGAGAAAAAATTCATCAAATTATTTACTGCTTTAATTTTCTAAAATGTGGCATGATTTTTCGGGATAAACTGATAATAGACACCTACTTATTTAAATATAATATTGGATCCTTAACTACAGTAAATGTGTTCTAATGTGTAAATGTAAAGTTATAAACATATGTTTTACTCATCCATAAAATGTTTTTGTATTTCACTTCTTCATTCACACAAGTATCATAAAATAGTTTTTTTTAACAATGTTAATGCCTTGATTCGGTAGATTATATGTACTTTTTTTCAAACTTAAAAATAATTTCTTAAGTTTCTATTATTAGTAAGGAAATTTCATTGGTAAGATGTGGTTTCTGTTGTTTGTAACAAATAATATTTGTTTTTAGAAATTATTATTTATAATTTTGTCACTTTCCATTAGCTTCTACGACTATATGTTAGATATTTTATCTAAAATCCCCAGCTTTTATGTATATAGATATAATAATAATAATAACGCTTTATTTATTCTGGGACGAGTCCCTTTAGAACAATACAGAAAGACAAAAATATGGGATAAGGAGCCAGCCTCAGAGATACGTAAACAATAATATAGTTTAATAGTCAAAATAATAAAAGAAATTATAAGTTACTTTCTAATTTAAATCAGTTACGAACAAAAAATTTAAAATAAACATGAAGTAAAAATAATGAAGAACGATCTAATAATTTATATACATATTTACAGTAGTAACTATTTACAATTATGAGGACTGCATAGATAAGAAATGATTAAACAGGCGGGATTTAATAATAATAATACATATATAAAATCCCCAGCTTTTGTTTGTGTCTGCGTGCGCGTGTGTGTGTTCTGACTATTAATTTTGGAAATTCATTTCCAACCTAAAAAACATTTTATATTGAGCCTTCTATTATTACTACTAACAATGAGATACAGTTAATTATTTTAAATTAAATAAATTAAAGGTACTTTAAAAAAAAAATTTCGAACATTAAATTTTTACACCTGTTATGCTCTTATAGGATTATACCATGCTGAATGACATCAATGAGATGTCTCTGACATTAAAAACTACTTAATAGTACATTAATATATCAGGTTTAATTGTTAGCCATTTTTGAAACAGAAACGATGATATAAAGTGGCACTTCTGATTAGCCAATTTTCAGGAAAAAGTTGTAACATCCCAGCCATATACATACCTTTAAATATCTAATCTCAGTTTCATATGACTTTTCATTTTTGTGCTAGACTGCTCAAATACGAACACATAGACAATTTTGGGGGACTTTGTTATTTAGACTCAAGGGATCTCAAAACGTGTATTTCCGTTGAAAACTGATTCGAAAATGTTCACAATTGCCATAATTGCCTTTACTATATATGAAAGTGAAAGTAAAAAAAAATATATATTTTAAAAAATACAATAATGTGGAAGACATTGGCAGCGAAGTAACAGGTTCATGTTTTAGAAATGGAAACATGTTTTAAAGGTTGGTATTATTAAAAATCAGCACTAAAATTTATGATCAAGTATTGTAAATAATATGTACTTACTTATCAGGAGAAAATTGAAATTTGTTTGTACTTTTTAATAAACATTTTATGGAGTAGAATTGTGAATGTGATTGTTATTTTTTTTACAAAATATTCATTCTCTTTTTTCACCCAATATTCATAATTTTCTAATAATAATTTATGTTACTGTGCTAATATTTTAAATGTTTCTCTGTTTTGTGTAGCCCTTATTATATGTTTGTTTTTATTCTTGCTGTTGTGACAGGGTAAAAACTGTGATGACGCAATTCTCGGATGCATGACATTTAACCTGTATGTTCTCACCTTATCTGGGAGCATTTTAGTATTGCAAGTCAAAACAAAGTTGGTAGTTGTACACTTTTGAACCTCTCATCTCTGCTGTCCTGCTTATCATAATTTATGATCTACGAGCCCAATGCTGTTACCTTTCATCTTATGTATTTCTCTTAAATGTTATTGTTTATTTACCAACTTAATTCTTGTTTATATGTACAAATATGTATGTATATATATTTATATGTATCTGTTTACTAATTAAAAATAGTTGAATAATGTTATTTATTGATTTAGTAAAGTATTGTATTTTGTTATTATAAAATTTTGTTATGTTTGATCATTGTGCATCATTTCTGTGCCAGTTTTGTTTTTCGGTGTACAAATTGTATAAATTTGTTATTTTATTTATTTAGAATTGTCTATTTTCCAATTTTAAAAATTTATTTTATTTCCCTCTACCCATTAAAGTAATTTATAGTAATTAAAGACAAATCATTGGATTTGTATTACTATTTAAATTTTTAATTATTTTAGATATTTAGCAATATTCAGTTATCATCTTTAAAAAAAAAAAATCTGCTAAGAAAATATCCTCAACAACCATTTTAGCAGTTGCAATACTATTTATCAAAGGTGGATGGTATTTCATAATAATAATTCATGTTTATACCTGGCTTTAAATATTGTTTTTCTCAGCTAAGGCAATTGGGTTTCAATTTGCTGCTAAAAGACTGGAAATACTCAATTAGTTAAATTTTTTTTGCCAGGGATTTCCAGAAGGGAGTTTTACATTTTTACAGGTTTTGGAATTTTTGAGGAGGCCCATTTCGAAATGAAAACTTTCAAAGAAAGCATAGAACAGATCACTGCAAATATAATTTATATTTATAAAAATATAGATTTTTAAAATTATGCTTTCGCTAGCACTGTTATTAAAAAGAGGAGAGCTATAAAATATAGGAGAGGGGGGCAGTTCATGGGCCATTGACCTTGAAGGGGGGTTTTCCTGTCTTTGGCTATTGATAGTTTGGAATAGTATTATTATATTTATGTTTACTTCTACTCTATACATCACCATGGATTCAGTGATGTAAAATATATTTTTTTTTTAATTTTAATCTATCTGTGAATTTTGTTTATCTTATGACTAAACTTTTTAAGAAGTTGGTGGGGTGGTCATGGTCAAAGAAGAAATCGCACTGAGAATTGAAACATATTCTTAATATGTACTGATATTTTTGCCTGAATTGCATCTCTTCATCTGGTGTGGAGTCCAATGGTTTTTAGGTAGTGGAGTGGCTTATAACCTCTTGGAATTTAGCTTTCCTTCAAAACCACTCTTCTGACTGTCCTCTTGATGAAAGCCTACCTATAAGGTGCACATTAAAACTTATTTTTTCTTATCAGTTTGTTTTCTTCCTTTAGTGTACTCCCACAACCAATTTGTTTTTTTTTATGGCACTACATATAGATTTTTTTATTTAAACTCTTGACAGCTTTTCTTGTAATAATCCTTTTGATATTTGATAAACAATGATTATCACTTATGTTCTTCTTCCTACTTGTATTTGTTTTTTGAAATAATACTTACACTAGAACAAAGTTTTTAACAGAAAACCTTATTTTCTTCTCAACCTCCTCAGAAAAAATTTCTTAAATGCTATGAGAGGCTAAGATTGATGAAATAAAATCGGTAAAAATATAATTTTCAAGGTCGAAATTTGATGATTATGTTTTTTACCAATAAATAAAGGAAAAGAGTATTATTTACCTTCTAACTTCAATTGAGAAAAAAATTATTTAAAACAAATATATTATATACATATTAACAATTTTATGAGGTGATTTAAAGGTGGGGATAGAATTGGAGGGACGGATGTAGGAAGAGATAAAATTTCATAGGGATGAGGATGGAATAATGAAAGATCTGTCCAAAGCAGTGGTTTGGTGGGCTCTTGTATACAAATCTGAAGACCGGGAACAGGTTTTGCGGGAGTGGATAGAGGATTTAAATTGAAGGACGCCGGGTTTGGAAGAGGAAGGGTCCTAGAAAATACATACGTTGGTAGAAAAGATAAAGGCTCTTCATTAAAACGGAAAACAGAGGCGTCCCTTGGGATCCCCAAGATGAATCCTACAAAGCAATTAATCAAACGTTTTAGTTTCGCCTCGAGATCCCTGGGGACGCCCCCATATATCCTACAGCAATAGTCGGAGTTGGAAAATAGTTCACGGGTTTCAAATGAAAATAGGTGGCAGAGGTCATTTCTTCTTTTTCTACAGCCCGAAGTGGGTCTTGACTTCCTAAACAACAGCTCTCCAGATGTCCCTTTCCTTAGTCTTTTCCCTCCAGTTTGTAACTCTCAACCGCCTGAGGCCATCCTCCAACCACCTTCTTCTTGGCCTTCCCCTTCCTCTGATATCATAAATTCTTCCTTGGAGCATCTTTTTTGGGATACCCTCATCTGGCATTCTAAGTACGTGCCCCAACGAATTTGTCATGGTGGCAGTAATCGTCCATGTTTCAGCTGCATAGTTAAGTATGGGTTTTATTAAGGAAGTGTATAGCCTTATTTTCGTTTTCCTTGATATCAAAGATGACTTAAAAAGCTTTAAATTCTCAAAATACACACGGTTAGCAGCCATTATCCTTCTGTGCACCTCAGTCATAATTCTGTTTTCATTATTTATTTCTGCCCCTAGATAGGTAAAGGTATTGACGTTTTCGAAAATGTGTCCTTCCACCACAAGGTTATGGGAATTTCTTGAATTTTCTGAAGCAATGGACATATACTTCGTTTTTAAATCATTTATTTCAAGACCCATAATTTTACTTTCAGCATAGATAATATTAAAAATTTCACTAAGGGTTTGAACACTTCTGGCAACAAGAGCTATGTCATCTGCATATACACAGATTTGAATGCTTGAATGAAATATATTTCCTTGCGTATGTATGCAATTAATATTTTTACCTATGCATCTCAATTATTCACATTTGGTTATTATAATTTCTAAATTGTCTTAATCTGCAAACCAATTTAAATTATCTTCCACTTATTCCTAGCCATTTCCATTGCTATCTGCTTACATTATCTTTATCTACTTTTTCATTGTATTGTCTGATTAATGTTTCTCAATCCTGTCAGAATGATATTAAGCAAGAAAGTGTAAGTTATCTTAAAATCAGCTTATGTATTAAATGTCCCTCAGTTATATAAATGAAGTATAGACCTATGAAAGATTTATGTTTTACATCATCTCATGTTTTGGCTTCCAGTCTCAACCTTTCTTCCTAAGGTTTTCCTAAATCTTTTGCAAGGCTGTAAATAATTTAACTATTGAGAATGACTTATTGTTCAAATAAGAATAAATTACCACCACTAATGATCAAATTGACCAAGCAAAAGTGGCTCAATATAGAACAACAAAAGGAATCTTAATAATGCAAATGGGAAAAATAATCTAGAATACCTTATTCTTTTGTCAAACAAATATATTTATTTTATACCAACAGTTCTTGGAAAATAAAATAATCAATTAAAAATATGTAATTAACACACAAGACACTTCCTTTGGAAGAAAGAAATTGAAATGCACTTCATAAATAAGTACAACATAATTTACTAAGAATCAATATTTATAGCCATAACAAAATTTATCGACTTTAATAAACTATTTTAAATCAATAACTCAACAAATGTATTTCTAAACTTTTAAGACACAAATAACAGTGAAACAGTACAGTAAGGTATAGTACGTTATCAATTACTAGTTTATAACATTAGAAATATTAACAACCTTTCAACATAAAGTTGTTTAAAACATAAATAGACAGAACAAAAACAAAAAAATTGCATAGTAAGGATATAATCCAATGCCAGTCTTGGGGTTTGATATTTCAAGAAATTCAATAGTAAGAATATTTCCAACTCCATGAGATTTAGATCTATAACAAAAACACAATAATAAGTGGATAGAATATTTGATTTAAGTACAACAATGAAATGAAGAAAGACTCTAGTAGCCTCTGTTATGGACAATACTGAAATTCTTACCTGTCAAATGTTGCCGATCTCAATGCTAAACACCCACCACTGGCACCCTAACTAAGAAAGAAACAAAACTCCATCCAAGATAGGGAAGAAACAAAAATGAGAACCTAAAAATTAAATGGAATTAGATAATAGAAATTAAATAATGTTTTTCTTTAAATAATTTGATTTTACACGTTTTAAAAAATCAGTAAACATTTTTTAAGAAAATATATTTAATGTTAGTACAGTGTAACACTGAAATTAAGTTAAATCAATAGAAAATAAACACAATGTTTCTCTTTCTCACCACCTATATGAACTTAAAGGGATTTTCTTATAACTCATTTTTCTAAATAGTATTACATTCTGTCTCTAACAAAGACAATGATAACAGTGAATAAAGGGCACATTTACATCATACTTGCAAAAAACTCTAATCATGGAAACTATAGGTTATTAAAATTTTTACCTGTGAGTTACCCATTATTGGGATCATACTGCTGGGCCACCTCGAGCAAAAAATGATGCAATCGGTCATTTAGTGCATGTCTGGATTTCCAGTAGTATTCTGCGAGGTACCCAGCACTATGATTTTTTCGTCTCCCGTATCTTGGAATCTCGGAACGGACCTCTCTCCATCTTCGTTCTATGTTTTGGGTGTGAGCACCAGTGATAGGGTCAATAAAAATTATACTATGGTTGGCAGTCAGATGTTGATAAAGTTGTTGGTTCGCTATTGGGTTGTAACCTCCCTCTGAAATGATGGTAGTACCCGGGGAGATTCGGCGCATTATAACATCCATGAGAGTGTTAGCCGAACGATCTTGGATCCTCTCAAAGAAACACCTGTTAGTTTCTCTCTCAATTGCACCAAAGATCCAAGAGCCTTCGACTTCCCTACCCATATAATTTTTTCGCTTACCGAATTTCGCCTCGTCTACTTCCACAATCATACCTGGACCACCAACTATATCCACATCTGAAAACAGCATTGAATCGATACATATTTCCCGACAAAAGTTTGACCAATCCACCACCGTTTTGCTTGAAAGCCCCAACGTCTCCATAATATAATTCTGTCGAGGATGGGGAACAGTCAGCCAAATAGTGATGAATTTAATCACCTTTTCGAATGAGAGATGAGTATGATTCAGCCAAGTGTTGGTTTTTAAAGACCTAAGAAAGTTGCACTTTCTTCGCAAATGATTTATTATTCTGGTTTTTTGGCACCTTAAATAACAATAAAGAAATTTAATAAAATGTAAAGAATAAAACAATTTAGATTAATAACTAATTAATATATATATAAACACACACAGTCATTCTCCAGATTCCAT